TCTCCTTTTATTTTTATAACCTTTTTATCATGTAATGTCAGATATTTTTTCTGCTTTTTATTTCTTCATTTTGATAAGAACTGATAAGACTCTGGAAAGAAAATCATGTACTTTAGGTCAATGATCCTTGTATATAAATGAAACATTATAAGAAGTCTATAAAGTTAAATTAGTGTTCTTAACCCTTTGCATGGTAGCAGTGTTTAAGGTGTGTCTTTAACAGTATTTTAAAGTTAGGCCGGCATGCACATCCCACTGTCTGCAGCTGCCCATTTATTACTTTAAAGATATTTAAACCCTTTAAGATGAAAATGGATCGTTCCATCTTCTAAGATGACCAGGATCATTATATAAATTCAGGGAGGTTAGGTAAAAAATATTAGTAAATAAGCCAAGTCCATGATTTTGCTCAGGTCTAACTGATTTTGCTTAAACTTTCAGGGATGAACAACGTTAATGTGTAGATGGTAGTAAAGGAAGGAATTTTTGCTGCGACCAAATTTAACAGAATTATGGCCCTTTGTTGATTTTTTCACTATATACTATGTAGAAATTTTGTGAACGCAACTCCTCTTCAACCGATTGGCAGATTTTGCTTAAACTTCCAGGGATGAACAACCTTAATGTGTAGATGGTAGTAAAGGAAGGAATTTTTGCTGCGACCAAATTTAACAGAATTATGGCCCTTTGTTGATTTTTTCACTGTATACTATGTAGAAATTTTGTGAACGCATCTCCTCTTAAACCTTATGGCAGATTTTGCTTAAACTTACAGGGATGAACAACCCTAATGTGTAGAAGGAAGTAAAGGAAGGAATTGTTGCTGTGACCAAATTTAATAGAATTATGGCCCTTTGTTGATTTTTTCACTATATACTATCTAGAAATTTTGTGAACGCAACTCCTCTTAAACCGGATGGCAGATTTTGCTTAAACTTCCAGGGATTAACAACCTTAATGTGTAGATGGTAGTAAAGGAAGGAATTTTTGCTGCGACTAAATTTAACAGAATTATGGCCCTTTGTTGATTTTTAGTTTTCAACTTGTGGCACATGTAGTAAAAATATTTGACCTAAAGTCATAAGATTGACAGAACAGTGGCGTGTGGGAGCATCCGTGTCCTATGGACACATTGCTAGTTTAGATTTTAGTGAAGGTGTAATTTATATTCATTTCATAGATTTTAATGAAGGAAGTGTTTTATTCTAGTGTTAAGGATAAGGATCCATGCTGTTCGCTTACAAACCCTATTACAAGTAGAGAAACGGATAGCGAACAGCATGGATCCTGATCAGACTGCGCGGATGCGCAGGCTGGTCTGGATCCATGCTGGTCGCAAACGCATTATGTTGGTTTTGTCGTGACGCGGCTCATTTGATTTATAAAACCTAGCATGTGCTAAAACCAAACATTGTAATGTACACACCATATGGACAATACTTATCATTTTTTTGTTCATACGTACTTTATCGGGTCAATGATATAAATATGTTGCGAATTGTTCTAAAACTGTCATACCTTTGATAAGAAATTTAAAATCCATTTCCTCGTCGACATAACGCCCTTTTAAATTAAATGAAGCATATGTTTGAAAAACCTCATTAATTTCATTAATCAATATCCATTGGACTGACAGCTGGTGTTTAATGTCAAAAATGAACTTTTATAACTTTACTTAAATAGGTGCGTATATAATGTAATTCTTAGTCAAAATTGTGTTTTTTAATTTATATACTGGCCAATGGGCATGAAAATTTCAACCATTTCCATGGTTGTGTAGTGGTTAGCATACTGGAATGACAATCTAAAGACCCGTGATGCGAACTTTGGCCGTGCCTGGCCGATATTTTATGTGACAATTGTATTTCACTACAACCTCTGCAGATTAGCACTCTTTTTGAAAACACGGTCATATTCTCCTTGATGCTTAGAGGTTATGCTTCTATAGAGGTAAGGTTAATTGTGAAGTTTTACTTTGCAAAGAAACGATACTGTTGTTGAACAGAGTTTATTACTGTACAGAGGAGAAATGAGAAAAGCAGTGGAAATAGCAATGGCATACCACTTACATGAACCAAATCCTCTCCAGTATTGGCACTGACTAGTGCTCGTGTTATATTAAAAAACAACCGTTTATATAGGGCCATATAACATGTCAAAAATCTTTATAACAAAGAAAATATAATTTGTCTCTGTGCGACTGGAAATCATGTGATTTTATAGTGTACTTCACTAATTATTTAAGACAAAATTTAATGCACTTTACCAGAATCTTAAAATAGACAGAAAATTCCTGTAACTAGCATGCTTACTGTAAGCAAAGGCTTATCAGGTGCAAATTTTTAAGGATATTATTAATCTTCATTTAAGATTCCATTGTTTACTTGCTTCATATTAAATAGGGGTGACAGCCCTTGAATTGCTAGTTTTCCTACAATTATACCCAAGTCATTCAATCCAAAATGTCTGCCAATTTTTTATATTTCGGACATTCAGAATGAGTGTTTACTGGCAAAGGGCTTACTTTCCAATTATTTTGTTCATTGATTAAATTGATTTACATCAATGCCAATTGTATGTATGTATGTTGTTTAGGCAGTGGAAGACTGTCTTCGCCGTCCAGAAATGTATTTTACCTTATCACATAAACCGCGAGGCAGGAGTGTGATAAAGCCATTTAAATAAAACATTATTACACTAGTGTAATAACACATTGATTCAACGTCATTTGCTTTATATTTATAAAGATATTGTTAAGGTGACAACAGACACTTGCCGTGGTACTCACATAAATGGCATTTAAACCAAGTTATTTTAGTAATGATTGTTATTTATTTAATCTTTGTGCATTAAATGTCGTTGATCATCATAAAAAATAACATATTTGAATAAAATGCCTTTGTAAATGATTGATTTTGAATAAAAATCCTAAAATTTTAAATCGTCATATCAAAGTCATTTTTTATTTTTTTGTCATCAAACTTTTGGAAAATAACCATACTTATATTATCTAGGGAACCGTGTCTCAATTTTTTTCTATCTTTTCTCAAAAAAATATTACGTAACGTCAAACATTTTATGCGACTTTTTTCACCATACATATTACGTAATCAAAGATAATTAAGTGGCTGATTGAGCAAACAAAAATCCCTGACACGGTTCCCTCCGAAAATGAATTTCCTTTCAATGTGCTTTAAACCGCATGTTAATTGCTTGATTCTTAAAAAAGTTATGCCGATTCAAAGTTAGCCCGACACGCATCAAACGAAGTGTCATAAATCGGCTGTTCTCTCTCGGACCCCTACGTTTCACGCTAAATAATTGCATAAATACACAAATATCGCACCAGAGAGGATCACAAGTTGCGGTAACATACTCTAACAAACATTTTATGACCCAGTGACATCTGACCAATTAAAAAGCTGCTGATTAATATCAGTTTATAGTCGAAATTTCTTCAATTTTTAACGTGATTTACTGTTCGTCTGATATCTGTCGCACATGTCACGTGACTATCGGTAAAATTTGAGGCACTCAGTGGGGGGAAATGGAACGCATTTGCGCACCGCTAGCGGGGTATTTAATTGTTTCCTTTTTGAAGTGTATTATTATTATCAGCAGCAGTATTATTGTATTATACCAGTGTCCCTCTGCCTGTGTATTCGTGTATGAAATTCCGTTAAAATATAAAATAAAAATAACAACAAACTGAGCTTCTGACGGTCTTTTAAAGTCCATGGTAGATGTACAAATAAGAACGGGATGTTATATATTTTTTTCCACCAAATTGATAATGCTTCACACAATTTAAATAGAAATAAAAGGTATTACTCGATCAATATGATCTGGCCTTCTTGACTTCTATTATCATGAATATCATCTATGCACGGCATAGAGATCCAGTTTCTACCGGGATAAGACAATAAATTACATACTTTGTCCAGATTTATTAGTACTGTGTCCGATTTACTGGCGAACAATTTATTTTCTCTGAGAATATATTTTTAATATCTTTTTTTTTATTCATAGAGAAATAATCATCCTTAGACAATCTAAAATGGTTTATAAATTTGCCAGGAACACCTTACCACAAGTCATATAGGCGTTCACATAAAAATGTTGTCTGTTTTTGTTGTTGTTGTTTTACTTGACATTGTTAGAAAACGAGGTTGAATGTAAAGTAAGCCCTTGAATCCGTACAAAAGTCTATCAACTCAATGAAATATCTATCAGATTAACGGACAGACAAATTATTTTCAAACATTATGGATATTATAGCAACTACATTTTTAATCAACCCCGTGGTCGTGCGATTTGCCGCTATGCTTAATTATTTATGTTTCATACATTATGTTACGTACGTTGGCCGACAATTTCTTAAATTTATAAAAAAGGCTAAATGTTGAGATATTCATAAAAGATGTACGGTAGTTGTACGATACATGTATTACGAGAAGTATGGACCAGTATGGACCTGTAATTCACGGATATATGCAACTACCGATTTCCCTCATTGATGCCTCAACAGGGGGCGGAGCGTTATCGATAATCGACAGGTCACGCGAATAGCAGATACAAATAGTATAGGTACCGTTTTAAAACGTTTAAAAACACATTTTTCGGACTAACTGCTTCCAAAATTAAATCACGAATGTGTTCAGAAAAGGTTGATAAATCTACTTAGCAAAAAATCTCATTTTAGGTATTTTCAGTGATAATTGACTCCGTTGTCACCTTAAATCGTGCTAATGTTCGCATTACACTTTAGGGGCGTCAATGAAAAATCACTGTTTTTTTTAACAGTTCTTATTTTATATATTTGATGAATAGAATATTAGGTCTGTTAGATTCAATACTAAAATTAAACCAGTTGAATAAAACAATATTATGCACACCAGAGGCTAGCATAATATGATTTTATTCAACTTGTTCAATAAATTCAGTATTAAACCCACACTCATTCAATAACCTCTTAGTATTTAATTCTTTTTTTATTCCAGAACATTGAGAGAGAAGGATACAAGCAGCATGATATTCCAGTTTGATCTCCCGTTACATTTTGGTAATCATCAGCTCAAGAATACGACCGACTTTCAACTTCCGTACGATGTCTGGTGGCTTCATTTTAACGATATGGTAAATACAGAACATTTGTAAAACTTTTCGGAATTTTTGTAAATTTCATGAAATTTATTTATTTTGACTAATGTTTTATTATGGCTACATGCTAACTCAGGTGCTGGTATTAGAAAAGTTTTGTGTGTGTTTCAAATTGTTTTATCAATTTTAGGGATATTAAGATGAAAATTTCATAAAAAAAATGGTTTAACATGAGAGAAATCTGTTAATTACAAACAATATCTTTATGTTCTTAAAATTACCTATTAAGTGACTGAGTGATTGCAAACTAATATGGTTGTATATAATCAGCAAAGAAGAGCAAAAGCTATTCTTTATAGGCTTACACAAACAAACACACTTTTTAAAAACAATTGTGCCTCAAAATACTTTCTCTGAACCTCCTTCATTGTACTTCAATAAGCCTTAACCTGCTGTCGTACCTAAAGTAATCAGCCTTTGCCATTTGTATAAATCCAGTTCAGGTTGCTTATGTAAGTTTGTTGTTTCGTTAATTTCGCTATGTTTGGTCATTTTGTATAAAGAATTACACAATCTTTGTCATAAATATAAAAAAAATTGTCCAAGAAAATGTTATAAAACTTGGCCAGAGGCTTTTTTTTGGTGTGAAAATTTCTTAAATTTGTTCAATAGATTTTTAGCTTGACATTCGATAAGAATAAGTAGAGCTATTGTAGTCACCCGAGCGTCGGTGTCGGCGTCTGCGTCGGCGTAACCACTTATGTTAAAGTTTTTGTAATAGTTCAAATATTTTCAAAGTCCATTGACTTATGGCTTTGAAACTTTGCACACTTGTTCACCATCATGACCCCAACCTGTAGACAGGAGGAGGTAACTCTATCAAGCATTTTGACAGAATTATGCCCCTTTTTCGACTTAGAATTTACGTTAAAGTTTTTGTAATAGTTCGAATATTTTCAAAGTCCATAGATACATGGCTTTGAAACTTTGCACACTTGTTCACCATCATGACCCCAACCTGTAGACATAAGGAGGTAACTCTATCAAGCATTTTGACAGAATAAGCCCCTTTTTCGACTTAGAATTTACGTTAAAGTTTCTGTAATACCTCAAATATTTTCAAAGTCCATTGACATATGGCTTTGAAACTTTGCACACTTGTTCACCATCATGACCCCAACCTGTAAACAGGAGTAGGTAACTGTATCAAGCATTTTTTTTTACTATCAAGCACTAAGAATAGTCAAGCGTTGCTGTCCTACCGACAGCTCTTGTATACTATATGGCAACGAATGTGAGACCCTAGATATCTCAATTGGCATTTTAGGGGTTAATGTACTTTTAACAGTCAACTGAAAGCTGTTACATATAAGGGTGTGGGTTATTGACATTTCATCATAATTATGTCAACATTTTCTAGGAAGCCTGTTTGTTTTTTTGTCAACATTCTTTGCAATCAAGCCATGACTAAAGTTATCATAGTTGAAATGGATGATTCACAACTCGAGTTTAATCAATATACCAGGGCTCGAGCTAGTGGGCGATTCGGGCGAAATAGTCGCCGAATTCCGTCTGACTTCGCCGACATCCTACATGAAAGCGAAGATGAAGTCGCCCGATTTTATTGATCCATTATTGAAAATTACCAACAATAACAATAACTGTGAATAACATGTTGTGTGTGTTTGCTTTGTTTACCCTCGCCGCCGGAAAAAGGGACTGTCATGCATCTCAATCAACGCGAAATGTCATTAATCCGTTTGTTTACCAACATGTCATAAAAGTCTAATTAACAGACGCTCGAGGAACAATTAGACTCCGCCCACGGCGAGATTACCGATACGTGCGAGAAACCAATCGTAATTCACGTTTTAATCGAGGCGACATTATTTAACCAATCATTAAATCGCTAACATACAACTACCTGTAACAATTATTTATGATGGACGGATCAAACGTCAATTAAATTTTCACTATCGAATGATTGTCAGTATTAAGAGGACGGCTCGACATATAACTGTAACGGTACTTTTAAATGAAAGTTATGATAACCTTTTTTGTCGACGAGTTAAATTTGATAAAATTAACGGCGTATTACACTGTATTTATTACAAATGAAGTGAAATTAAAGATCGTTTCTTTCGTTATCTACTTTTATTTTCTTTACAACATAAGTGAATATGAATATAATGTCCGGCGCAAGCTTTTTAATAGTAAATCAGAAGGGAATAACTGTTAATCCACCCATGATATGATCCATGATAGGAATCAACTATGGCTTTTTTATCTTCATTTAATGCAATGGTTGCATTACATGATACTCATTCTTATTACTTGTTTCAAACTACTTTTAAACAGAGACATATAGATAACAATAGGTATAATAATAGCTATCTATGTCTCTGTTTTAAATTAAAATTGATTATTCTATTGTAACACAAATCCAATTCATTTAATAAGATATGTACAGTGAGTCAACATAATTGCGATAACATACAACAAACATCGATAAATAAATCTCCTCACTTCTCCCTAAAGTCTCCCCACTTCTCCCTAAATCAGCTGGAGGGAGAAGTGACTTCTCCCTAAATTTTGAACCTAGCTTGAGCCCTGTATACATTACAAGTAAATAACATATATTCAAGTAAGTTAAATAACACATTTGCCCAGTTTTATCTTTAACCCTTAGCCTGTTGGTGACAACATATTCTACTCATGATAAGCATTCATGCCATCTGATCATGGTCCGCATTGTTAGCTATTCTGTCAGTACATATCCTAAAAATAATGAATGGTTTTATCCACACTGAAAGATTGACCAGTTCATTTTAAGTTTAGGGTTGATTTCATCTTTTATGGTTTTCTTATACACATGTAAAGAAAGCATATTTTGACTCAGCTTCAGATATGTCAATTGGTAGATATGAATTGATGATGATATTATTTTTATTTTCATAGCTGCCAAAGAAAGGTGATGGTCAGCAGTACAGAAGGATTAGAAACAGTAAGTTTTCTGTCATAAATTTATATAAAGTTGGAATTTAGTTCATTAGTGCTAAAAGGTCTTATTTATCGAGCTTACTCAACATATGCCTTTGCTTTTAATCTGGTGTGATTTCTGGTGCTACTATAGTGTGTATGTTAAATATTGGAAGATGAATGTTATCTAAAGACAATAATTTTTAGCTCGACTATTCGATAAGAATAAGTAGAGCTATTGCAGTCACCCGAGCGTCGGCGTCGGCATCGGCGTAACCACTTATGTTAAAGTTTTTGTAATAGTTCAAATATTTTCAAAGTCCATAGACATATGGCTTTGAAATTTTGCACACTTGTTCACCATCATGACCCCAACCTGTAGACAGGAGGAGGTAACTCTATCAAGCATTTTGACAGAATGATGCCCCTTTTTCGACTTAGAATTTACGTTAAAGTTTTTGTAATAGTTCAAATATATTCAAAGTCCATTGACATATGGCTTTGAAACTTTGCACACTTGTTCACCATCATGACCCCAACCTGTAGACAAGAGGAGGTAACTCTATCAAGCATTTTGACAGAATTATGCCCCTTTTTCGACTTAGAATTTACGTTAAAGTTTTTGTAATAGTTCAAATATTTTCAAAGTCCATTGACATATGGCTTTGAAACTTTGCACACTTGTTCACCATCATGACCCCAACCTGTAGACAAGAGGAGGTAACTCTATCAAGCATTTTGACAGAATTATGCCCCTTTTTCGACTTAGAATTTACATTAAAGTTTTTGTAATAGTTCAAATATTTTCAAGTCCATTGACATATGGCTTTGAAACTTTGCACACTTGTTCAACATCATGACCCCAACCTGTAAACAGGAGGAGGTAACTCTATCAAGCATTTTGACAGAATTATGCCCCTTTTTCGACTTAGAATTTACGTTAAAGTTTTTGTAATAGTTCAAATATTTTCAAAGTCCATTGACATATGGCTTTGAAACTTTGCACACTTGTTCACCATCATGACCCAAACCTGTAAACAGGAGGAGGTAACTGTATCAAGCATTTTTTTTACTATCAAGCACTAAGAATAGTCGAGCGTTGCTGTCCTACCGACAGCTCTTGTTCGACTTAGAATTTACGTTAAAGTTTTTGTGATAGTTCAAATATTTTCAAAGTCCATTGACATATGGCTTTGAAACTTTGCACACTTGTTCAACATCATGACCCCAACCTGTAAACAGGAGGAGGTAACTCTATCAAGCATTTTGACAGAATTATGCCCCTTTTTAGCTCGACTATTCGATAAGAATAAGTAGAGCTATTGCAGTCACCCGAGCGTCGGCGTCGGCGTAACCACTTATGTTAAAGTTTTTGTAATAGTTCAAATATTTTCAAAGTCCATTGACATATGGCTTTGAAACTTTGCACACTTGTTCACCATCATGACCCAACCTGTAGACAGGAGAAGGTAACTGTATCAAGCATTTTGACAGAATTATGCCCCTTTTTTCGACTTAGAATTTACGTTAAAGTTTTTTGTATAGTTCAAATATTTTCAAAAGTCGATTGACATATGGCTTTGAAACTTTGCACACTTGTTCACCATCATGACCCCAACCTGTAGACAGGAGGAGGTAACTCTATCAAGCATTTTGACAGAATTATGCCCCTTTTTCGACTTAGAATTTACGTTAAAGTTTTTGTAATAGTTCAAATATTTTCAAAGTCCATAGACATATGGCTTTGAAACTTTGCACACTTGTTCACCATCATGACCCCAACCTGTAGACAGGAGAAGGTAACTCTATCAAGCATTTTGACAGAATTATGCCCCTTTTTCGACTTAGAATTTACGTTAAAGTTTTTGTAATAGTTCAAATATTTTCAAAGTCCATAGACATATGGCTTTGAAACTTTGCACACTTGTTCACCATTCATGACCCCCAACCTGTAGACAGGAGAAGGTAACTCTATCAAGCATTTTGACAGAATTATGCCCCTTTTTCGACTTAGAATTTACGTTAAAGTTTTTGTAATAGTTCAAATATTTTCAAAGTCCATAGACATATGGCTTTGAAACTTTGCACACTTGTTCACCATCATGACCCCAACCTGTAGACAGGAGAAGGTAACTCTATCAAGCATTTTGACAGAATTATGCCCCTTTTTCGACTTAGAATTTACGTTAAAGTTTTTGTAATAGTTCAAATATTTTCAAAGTCCATAGACATATGGCTTTGAAACTTTGCACACTTGTTCACCATCATGACCCCAACCTGTAAACAGGAGGAGGTAACTGTATCAAGCATTTTTTTTACTATCAAGCACTAAGAATAGTCGAGCGTTGCTGTCCTACCGACAGCTCTTGTTCGACTTAGAATTTACGTTAAAGTTTTTGTAATAGTTCAAATATTTTCAAACTCCATTGACATATGGCTTTGAAACTTTGCACACTTGTTCACCATCATGACCCCAACCTGTAAACAGGAGGAGGTAACTGTATCAAGCATTTTTTTTACTATCAAGCACTAAGAATAGTCGAGCGTTGCTGTCCTACCGACAGCTCTTGTTCTTAATATTATGACTACAATTTGGCAATTGTAAAATATGAAAAAACCTACTAAATAGGTCTTTTAATTGGGCCCTTGTTAAGCTCCAAAACTGCATGAAAAGCACTGGTCATCAAATTTTTTGTCCCTCTTAAGGTGTTTCTTTGAAGAGATTTATCAGAAGAAAGTTTATATTTTCAGACATCTACGTAGATGCACGGCCTTCATGTAGGTATGAGGCTCACTCCTGTAACTGCCGGACTCAGCCAAACAATGAGAAAGCCTGTGGGGAAGACTGTCTGAACAGGTTAGTCCGTTTTCTACTACAGCATATAGCTGTCTATATGTTACAATGTTGGGACCATATCTAAATAGACTTCCACCGGGATAAAAAATATTTTGGGTTTTACCCAGCTAAATGGGGGTACAAACAAACTTTAACAGTAACAGCTTCGAAAATAAGCACAACAAGTTGATTAATCGATTGTGACTGGTAGTGTACCGTGAAGCTAAAACAGTAAAATTTTGTTTGTACCAGGGGATTAGCATGGAAAAACCCACATTTCCCGAGTTCTGGATAACATCTCTTTTTTGTATGTTGTGATATAAGAATGATGTTATTTTAGGTTGATTTACACCGAGTGTTCGCCGGATCTGTGTCCATGTGGTGACCAGTGCTCAAACCAGGGTATTCAAAAGCATCAGTTTGCCCAGGGTTTACAGAAATTCCTTACAAAGGACCGAGGATTTGGTGTACGCACAACGAAATCGATCAAAAGTGGTAAGGAGACAATTTCTTTTGAAAACATGTTTTTTGTTATAACAAGAAGATGTATTTTGCAGCATTTTTATCTGAATTGAATATTTTTAATTATAGGAAAAAAAGACTGATTTATTTAATGATCCAGTATTTGTTTGAAAATTTGGGACTAAAAAATTGGACTGAACAGCCTCGTAACCACTTAAACCATTTACCTTAAGATAATCTTGTCTGTACTGGCAGCCCATGTAAGGATTTTGTAGTTATTAATTTTTTAGTGTTTGAAATAGTTTTGTCACTCACGATTAATTGATAATTTAATGACTGAATTCTTATAATCAAAAGGAGATCTGATCACGGAGTATCTAGGTGAGGTTGTAAGCGAGCAAGAATTCCGACGTAGAATGACGGAGGAGTATTCGCAGGAATGTCATCACTACTGTTTAAATCTCGACAGCGGCACTGTGATCGATGGATACAGAATGGGTAACATCGCACGATTCGTGAATCACTCGTGTGAACCGAACTGCGAGATGCAGAAATGGTAAATGAACTGTTTCAAAATTTGTTTAAATATAGATGTACGAGTAGTAGAAAATATGTAACATATGTGGTTATTGATATTAAAAAAGAATAAATGAAGTGACAATATGTATCTATATACGTAAACATTCTATGAAAATTATTATCGGATTTCTTCAATTTTCTAAAAAGAAAATGCTTCAGAAGACACTCCCTGTTTACCGTCTTTTATCATGTCTGTATTATATAGATTTCACATATTTTCTTATGAGCATATGTGTTCATCATTAAAGCAATATAATGTATATTTCAGGAATGTGAATGGCACATATCATATGTGTTTGTTTGCCTTGAAGGACATTGAGCCAGGGGACGAGCTGGTGTATGATTATAACTTCCAGTCATTTAATCACGATGCACAGGTATTGGTTTATTGCAATCATGTATTGGTTTAACATATTTATTTAAGCTTGATTGCGAAACAAGTTCTTGAAACTTATATTAGTCACTTTCCAGTCAGCTTCCTGGAACCAACCAGTACTGGTGTCATATGAAGAAACATGGTTGTGACCCGAGTCAGGGCTCAAACCAATGATCTCTGGGTTGAGAGGCAGAAACCTTAACCACTAGGTCATTGCTCCCTTTAATCAATGTAAATTGATTTGGGTTTGGCATGTAGGGTGTCTAAAACAGTTTTAGAACCAAGTAGTTAAGGTTGTTGATTTTTAATCTTTGCACCTTTACAATCCTGATTTGACACCTTCTTGGGGCTTTTGTTTTTCCAATGTGAGGAATCTCTCTTTCTAGCATACACATTGTTCTACTAAAGTGTTGTCTTGTGCCAAAGATAATGCACAGAGTGGTGCCTGAGGCTTTCTTTACACCCACCCTGCCATTTAGTAAATTTGGAAAGTCATGGTTATGACATTGACAGTGGTAATGTGACTTTAAAAATAGAAAAATATTTTCAGGGCCCATGAGGTTTTTTCCCTTAGTAAAGCTTTAAATTCTCAATATCTGGTTACATGCTGCTTTTACTTAACTGAGAATTGTTTGTTTGTTATTTTGTCATTTTACACCAGTTTTAGTACATTTTTGGTCATATCTAAGTTGTTGGTGGACCTAATAATTAACAAGATATTTGAGAAAAGCCAACCAAAGAACGACAAGTAATGAGATGATATATAATATTATGTTTACAGCAAACTTGTAAGTGTGGCAGTGAGTGTTGTCGGGGCATTATTGGTGGGAGGAAACAGTGGCAGAATGGTCAGGTGAAACCGCCTGACCGCATGCCTGGCAAAGTGATGAAGGGCAAGTTCGGGAAAGATAAACGCAAGTCAAAAGTGAAACAGGAGAAAAACAAGGACAGTCCAAAGGTAAGTCAAGTATACTCTAAACAAAGTACTCTACAAAATACGCATTTAAAGGCTAGATCTTTATTGTTTTTTTTTTGGATGAAAACAGTATTGTATATGTATTTGATATTTTTTATAGTAAATATTTAGTGCTTTTTCTTATATGCACCATTTTGCTATGGTCGGATACAAGTAGTGAATAGGTTTTTTGGGTCATTACTTACACCAGAATCATAGAATTTTAAATGTAATAATAAAGTCTTACCATTGCTTATATATGTACTGTATTGATTATTTTGTGCTTGAGCAAAAAGATCAAGTTTGGGAAAGATCAAGTTAGGGTGTTGCAAACTTCTCAGTACATAGATGCTGTTCTACTAAAAAAGCAAGACTAAGTATTGTTTAACCTTGCTAGCCATTGTCTTTAATCTATTATGTTTTATTATAGACCAAATACCCAATGCAGCCTGTGATTACAAACTCTTCGTACAATCAAACGATGCCAGTAGCTTGCAGCACGTCCATCCCTGCGTATTTGTCTCCCTTGTCACTTAAACCTATCACAAAGAAGGACAGAAACTACGCTCGTGAACACGCCATATTCTTGGTGCGTAATTTGGACCGGTTGAGAAATAAGTTACGCCAAGAACAGGACGAGCAGAAGTCGACCAACGATGAAGATTACGTGAAAGGCACCCACTTTACTAAGAAAGGTAGGCTGTATTTTGTATTGAAAACACACATATTATAATTGTAATTTGGAATTGCCTCAGATCTGTTAGTGCATGTTTGGTTACTGAGTCAGTCCAATCTTCCTTAATTCCATATGTCCAGCTGGTGTCTTAAATTATGTACAAAGAAGCACATGAGGTCCTTCTTCACAAGTGTACCTGGAAAGTCACAATATTACTTTTACATTGTTGGTTAATCACAAAACTCAACTAAATAAGTTCTCACTAGGATTGAACATAAGAAATATATTTCTCTTGAACAATATATATCAGTTTGGATGTTCATGTTCAGAAATTTACAGTGTATACATATGTTGATATTATAGATGTGTTTATCACACAATTGACCGCACTGAAAACTTCTCGATCAGTGAAGACACGGCGTCTTACGGTGGCGGAGGAAGATTCGGAACTTGGCAAGATGGCGAGACTTGCGGGAGTGTGCAGAGAAATTTTCTCGGCTCTAACTGCTGCTAAAGGTCAGTATTTGGTTACATTCTTCTATACATTGACTACAGTATAAAATTTGATTCCCTAAAACTATAATTCTAACACTGCTCATGATTTTGTCATGATACACATTATACAAATAAGAAAAAAGCCACTATCATTTTAATGCGAAATATTTAACCACTGGAGCTGACAGTTTTTGTGGTCTGTTTGTACGCATCAAAACTCCAAACCAGTGTTAAATAGTCGATAAACACGGCTGTGACCGATATTTTATCTTAAATAAGTGATTTTTTTCTCCATTAATTGAAATTATCATGACATATTAGTGCTTAAAAAGATACGAATTACAGACACCAAAAAAATAAAGATGATCATCATATTTGTTCTTGTCAATAAATGAACTTTTTTTGTTAATAAAAGATTAAAAGGAAACGTCTGTTTGTGAAGGTAGAAAATATGAAAATTGTGATTTGTTTACACTCTCAAGTACACAAGTACTTTGAGAAATGTATGGCATATAGATTTACCCTTGTCTGTCTGTCCTTCACTCTCTCTATCCGAGACTGCCAAAACAGTGGAATGTGTTGGCATCCATGTCCTATGGACAGATTTAACTTGATATACTTGGACACCCTTTTCATGAACAAAGAATTTGTATGTTAATGTAAAAAGTCATGTTTAAAAACCAATGTATGTTAAGCTTATTTTATAAAAGATGTATATAGATAATAATCATCTTTGAAATACACATTTTCTGTTGAAATATTTTAATTAAATTTTTATTACTGTAAATCACAAGCACGATTATCGGTTTAGGTTTGAAGCTTTAAGTCTTTGTTTTATCTCTTGTAGATGACGATGGTATGTACATGGCGACAGATTTATACCACCTACCGTCCCGTAAGAAGCATCCGCTTTATTACCAGATGATCGTGGAGCCTATAGATCTTACAATGATTGAGAACAGAATCCTCTCGGGCGAATACCATAGCATTGACATGTTTGAACGAGATGTCATGAAACTTTTCCAAAATGTTGAGGTAAAAATAACTTATTCTTCTTAAAGTGTCAGTAATGGACTTGTTGATGCTGTAAATTTGGGGACTGTAAGTGATTTCTAGCTCAAAATATTACTATACTCCAGTATTACTTTACCTTGTGTAAATTTGGCAATTTTAGGAGATTGACCCGAAGTAAATTTGGAAATTTTAATGGATTTGACTTGATGTAAATTTGGCAATTTTAAGGGATTGACCCTATGTAAATTTGTCATTTTTAAGGGATTGACCCGATGTAAATTTGGCAATTTTAAGGGATTGACCCTATGTAAATTTGTCAATTTTAAGGGATTGACCCGATGTAAATTTGGCAATTTTAAGGGATTGACCCGATGTAAATTTGGCAATTTTAAGGGATTGACCCGATGTAAATTTTAGCAATTTTAAGGGATTGACCCGATGTAAATTTGGCAATTTTAAGGGATTGACCCTATGTAAATTTGGCAATTTTAAGGGATTTGACCTAATGTAAATTTGGAAATTTTAATGGATTTGACTTGATGTAAATTTGGCAATTTAAAGAGATTGACATGATGTAAATTTGTCAATTTTAAGGGATTGACCCTATGTAAATTTGTCAATTTTAAGGGATTGACCCAATGTAAATTTGGCAATTTTAAGGGATTGACCCTATGTAAATTTGTCAATTTTAAGGGATTGACCCGATGTAAATTTGGCAATTTTAAGGGATTGACCCAATGGAAATTTGGCAATTTTAAGTGATTGGCCCAGTGTAAATTTGGCAATTTTAAGGAATTGACTTGATGTAAATTTTAGCAATTTTAAGGGATTGACCCTATGTAAATTTGGCAATTTTAAGGGATTGACCCAATGTAAATTTGGCAATTTTAAGGGATTTGACCCAATGTAAATTTGACAAATTTAAGGGATTCCTGGCTTAAAATTTTACAACATAGCAGGGCCTCAGTATAATCAGGGTATGAAGCTTTATGTTAAAAAATATTTACAAATCTTTTTAGATAGATCAAATTAAATTGACAAGTAATAGGGAATGCAGCTTCCCAAACATAGTTTATACATACACTCATTTAAATTAGACACATTCAGGAAGAATTTACTAGATTTCAATACATTCTGCAATAAAAGTGTATATTACCCAAAGATGAGCACACTTTATCTTTGAAGTTTTGAATTTGCCTTATATTTGTTAGGTATCTTGTTTTTGTCGGCGTGATGTGAAATTTACACACATGCTGTTACAAGAAAGCATATGTACAATGTAGATATAAATCTAAATATCTCAATTGTAAAAGATGTTGCATGAAAAAAAATCCAACTGTTATGATATATGACAACAGACCTGACAATTAAATGTACAATATTTTCCTGGATAAATCTATATTATAATATATAAATGTATATATATCGCTCTATACATTTGTTAACATGGTAACTAAATACAGTCAGGTTTTTCTACATATATGTCTAGATCTGCTGAATTAATATAACGTATTTGAAATTTTTATACAAAATTCATGTAAATAAGAATATTATGAAGCGTGTTGAAGTGGTGTTGCTACCAGTTTGATTACATCTTATGGCAGATTCTTAACCTTTTACCCCATTAGCATATTGCGAAAAATGGCCGTTTTCATTGAAAAGCCTCCTGTAACAAGTTCAAACTGCTATGAAACTATGAAAACTGCTTCAATACTGGCACAAATGTTGACTACACCATAGCCTCTCTAACAGCATGCTCAATAGTAAATTTCCTGTTACCATGGCAATGGGGTGACATCTCAAAATTGCCAAAAATCACTATTTTGCATTGTTTTTTTTCCATCAAAACTGATTTCAAAGTGCTGCAACTTCTCAATGAATTGAGATAGAGTAAAAGGCTTTTCAGCGTTGGTTACTAGTTACTCTAAGATCGACCTGAGGCCATTTTTAGCCTGTCACATGTCCAAAATTTTCTTGGCGCATCCCCCTTCTGGCAGCTCCATTTGGATGGGGGACGGTGCCGAAAAAGTGGTCACTTCTTTTAACAACATTTCTCAAAGGAAAACCAGTGTTTGGGGCTAAATAGGGCATTTTTTCACTGTTTGAGGTCTCAAAAAGGGGGGGGGGGGTGGCAAAAAGCCATCGAAACACGCTTATATAAGGGAAAAGGTAAAACTGGCACAGACCAAAATTCAGCACTTTGATACTTATACTTTCCAAAATCACAATTTTTTCTGGCTTGCGCAAAAACTGTTCTTTTGTTACTTAAATAACATAGGAAATACAGTTGTTTGTAATTTTTCTTTGGACTTCAATTAAAACGTTTTCTTGTACCATTTATAATTAGATGTATTGTGGGAAGAAGTCGGAGATGGGGGAACGAATGAAGCAGCTGAGATTGGTGTACAACACCGCAAAGAGGGTCGAGATGAACCAACTGAACGAGATACTGGGTCAGGACAGTCTGGCCGATACACAGTCTGGAACGACGTCCGATGCCGAGAGTATGGACAATGTTCAGGTGGCGACGCCTGCCATGTCGACATCAGGAGAGTCAGACATTAGCGAGGGATTTGATAATAACAAAGGTGTGTTATAGTGTAATTTTATGAAACTCAATTCCTCTTGAGACATCATTATGTTTTGGAGAAACAAATTAATAAAATTTTAACAACAAAAATGATATGCTGAAATTTAAAAAAAAAAAGTTTTGATGATTTAATATATTCTTGTCTTTGAATGACCTTTAGTTAATAGCTGTTATTAGTTCAGCATTTTACCAGAAAGATATTTTTCTCATAGCCAAGATAGGACCGGAAATGTGTTTAAATCAAAGAATAAAGCATACAAACAAACAAACTTGATATATATTTAGGACTGTAAAAATGGTAATTTGAGGAGAAAGCATGCTATGTATTTTATGTTGTGTGAATCTGGCCAACAAGTTACGCAAGTTTGAATTTTTCATGTATGATAAGCATACCTTTCTTTGGCCAGAGAAATATGTCCAGAAGTTTCTTTTTGACCCTTTTTGCTTGTAACAAAACAGTTGATTCATATTTATTCAAAAAGTCAGACTTTAGGTATACCCAAGTCAGTTGATAATGAGCGTTATTGTATGTCTATTTATAGAATGGACAGCGGGGGAGGAGGAAGAAGAAGAAGTTATAAACTGTATCTGTGGTATATACAAGGATGAGGGTCTGATGATACAGTGCGAGAAATGCTATGTAAGTCATATACATGTGTATGTTGTAGATTAGAATTTAAGTCATTGGGCTGAGGTTATAAGATATTCTAATCTCAAACTCAGATCTCTTGTATTTGATTGGTCATATACATGAACAGAATGTGAACGAACCATTGAAATCCCGAGATTCGAGCTTGATCTCAAGGGAAAGGTTTTATAACCTTGGAGCCTGATTGCCATTTATTTATCAATCGCTGTTGTCTGGCAAATTAAATTTCTTGGAGTTAGTTCCCTTGCCACTTCCGAGTTAGTTCCCTTACCACTTCCATAATGATGAAGTTGCTTTTTCATTTTGAGAAATAGTTAACATTGGTCATGAATATATGTATTATATTGGATTGTGTAAAAACTGTTTCATGGGTGAAAATATTCAGAATTATATCTGGTTTTAAAAGTTAGATTCTAAAAAGCTATCTTTAATTTCATAAACCCTTAACGAAAAAAAAAAAGCAAAGACAAAACATATAAATACAGAATTTCCGGTATCTAAATTGAACACGTTATTATTATCACAGATCTGGCAGCATACCGACTGTATGAAGGTGAAAGGTGATGAGGAGAATTATTTATGTCATGAATGTGACCCCAGACCTGTTGATAGGGTAAGTAGTTTGTTAGGTTTCACTATTCCTGTGAAATTATTAAGGGGATATAGTCTTAGCACTTTTAAATTAAGCCAAATGACTGTTTCTGGGTTTCTGACCCATAATTTCAACAGTACGGATTAAGGATATTGAATTAGAGTCTTGTTTCTAGTGGGATTCAAACTCATCATGACCGCCAGATTGTGAGTCAAGTGCAATATACATCAAGTTCACTAAACTTGCAGGAAAGACAAGTGAAAACATTGTTCTTTATATTCATGTTATTCTTTTTTTTAATAGTTGCCCATTTATGCTCATAAAAAGCACCACTAGGGTTATGACAAAAGGAGTTTCAGCAACAGCTATTGTTTCCTTATGCTGTTAAAAGCAAGTATCTCAATTAGAAAAGTTGAATTTAGTATAAAAAATACAAAAAAATAAATACAAAATTTTATTCCTAAAGAACAATTTTATTTGACAGGAAGTTGAGATAGTAACCAATCCAGATGAGGAAGTTCATCATGATGATGGGAACCGGTACTATATGACCTTGATGAGGGATGATATGCAAATTAGGCTTGGTTCCTGTGTCTATGTCATGAAGGAAAACCAGTCTCGACGATACTCCTATAAGAAATCTGGCGGTCTGAACAAAGAAAGAATGGACATATTTAGGATCGAACGATTATGGAAAAATGATAGGTAAGACTCCAGTTTTGTGACAATAAATCCTCATGTGGCTTTACCTGTTGATTTTCACAAATGGACTTGTCCAGCTTCCAGTGTTAGGATGGTTCATAATAAATTTTGGGGAAATCAAGATGAAAATTCAACAGTATATAGTCTGGGCAGGCTGCATACTTGGGCAGGCTTGCCTGGTTCTATGCTGGTGACAAAGGCTTGTCACTTTTGATTAGAGCAAAATCGGGGTTAGTGAAGAATAACATGAAAAGAGAGTTCAATTTATTTAAGGGATTTATTTAACTGTAAATTTTGCTTTAGTTTTATATGTAAAAAAGTAAAAAAAAGTTAATAGAAATTGTTGTTGAATATGATAAGTCTTTCAGCAAGCTTGTATGTGGTACTGGTAACTTAAGAATCTCCACTTTATGACTACTTTATATGTTCAATACCTTACATTTAAATATTAGCTTATCTTTTTGGTTGGTTATAGGTTGAAATTTTAAACCAGATTTTTCAACCGAACACAAGATGGTTTTTGGATTGGTGTATGTCTGTGGGTAGCTAGGAAACATTTTCTTCCTTGCGCAGAAATTAACAGAATGATTGTCACCAATTCCCTTGCAAGTTTTGATAGGACTTTATTACATTATCATTTTTCCCACATGTGTACTGTTGGAAAACCTGGTTATGTGACAGTTTTCTATTTTTTGTCACCTTTGTAGCTGAATAAAAGAATCCTAGGATAGAATAACCTTTTTTACTTAATTATATGCATATTTTGTTTTATGTAACAGGGGAGAGAAGTACGCCTTTGGACATACGTATGTGAGACCACATGAAACATTTCATGAACCGACAAGGAAGTTCTTCCCTAATGAGGTACAGTTTATGTTACTTCATTTCAGTAGATAGTAATGCTATAAAAAAACTTAAAAAAAATGAAGACTGACAATATATAAATAACACATGGGTTTGTGGGTAACAGTAAAAATATCATCCCGAGGAAAATACTGTTACCCGAGGCGTAGCCAAGGGTAACAGTATTTTTACGAGGGATGATATTTTTACTGTTACTCACAAACCCATGTGTTATTTATTTTATTACCCCGAACAAAAATACTGAGATGATCTGAAATTGTCAAATAAATCTAACTGTAACAAAAATAAACCAAGAGTAACAATAACTAAACTGTCCTTACCTTTTAAGTTTTAAGTGTACTTTAGGCCTACTTGAGAAGTTTTCTTTTTATTTTATTCTTTAAGCAAGTGATGATATCTACAAATCATAAACATACAATAAGCTAGGTTTTATTTAGAAAACAAAACACTAACCCATTTACACGGTTATGATCTGTGAAATCTGATCCTTCTGTTTCCAGGATTTTCTGAGCATGGTTTTTGACAAAATAACGATGATATCCTATGTCTGTCCGCAATATCTGTAACGTTTCACTGATTAAAATTGTTAAATAATCCTTTGTTGCATGCTTAAATCGTCTGCATGTTCCAGTTTGACACATAATTATTTACATTCCAATTACTTCCTTTGAAAACGGATGTTCACTTTTTGACTATTCAACAAAAAGATATTTTATATGCGAAAAGCACACAAGGTTGCAAACAATTAAATTTTATGAGTGTCATAATTACTCCAGAGAAGAAATTGATGTCCTATCGAGGTTTAACGTTGAAAATAAGAATGAATCGAGAAAAAATGGCGGCCATTTTATTTCATTTTATTTAGAAAATAGACCACGTGACCAGATTTTATACTGTTAAAAAATACTGTTACCTATGTTACTGTACAAAATTCTTAGTCACGTGGTACTCTTGCATTAACAGTGAAAATAACTCCCAGAGGCCTATGGGAAATTAGCATTACGAAAAAAGTGAGGGGTAATAATATGTATTATGTATGCATGGATCACAAGGGTCCTTTTACTAAATACATGTAGTGACAACATGCATATGCAAAACATGTGCAAGTATTTGCGTTTAATCATTGATGTAAATAAGATTTGTTTATCCAGACTTCTGAGAAACTGTCGTGGTTGAATGATAATTATAGTGTTTGTCCCAGTATGACCGGTAAGCAGTCAATGTGCCGTAATATCCAAACAAACATGGATGGTAACTGTTGTTCACTTCATCGTCACTGCTTGCTGATGTTGGTTTTCATCTAATAAATATGTTGCCTCCGCAGATTTGCATGATTGCAGCGTTACATTTTGCACAATTTGATATTACTTTTTCATTACTGCATTACTGGATATACACTGAAATTTAGTTGTGCTGCTCAGAAACATCTAATTTTATTGTTATCGTAAATATTTCAGGTATTCCGCACCCCACTGTTTGAGGCATTTCCACTGGAGTCTATAGTTGGATATTGCTGTGTTCTTGACTTGCTGACATTCTGTAAAGGTCATCCGAAGGGTTACAAAGAAGAAGATTTATACATCTGTGACTATCGCATGGATAAAACTCTACATCTCTTTTATAAGATCTCACCAAAATTAAGGTATAAATTCTTACAAAATATTAACTTATTAAGTTTAATATAATTTTGGTAATAGCTTTAGATGTGGGCGATAGTAAAGCAGAAGAAAATGAATTTCTTCAATTATTTTCCTTATTTTTAACTTTATGAAGTACGTATTGTATATTCCATGGTGTATCTTGTTCAAACGTTCATTGGGTTCTCAATATCAGATTGGTTAAGGTTGCTGAACTTTAGGGAGCCAGCTTGCCAAAGGTTGGTGTTGTCCTATTCAAGTGCCCACATGTACTTAAACTGCTGAATGAAGGGGTCACTAAAGACTTTATATATTTATGAAAATTAGCATGAATCTGGAGACCTGCTGCTTTAATTTAAGAAACATACATTTGAGCCGCGTCACGACAAAACCAACATAATGGGTTTGCGACCAGCATGGATCCAGACCAGCCTGCGCATCCGCGCAGTCTGATCAGGATCCATGCTGTTCGTTATCAGTTTCTCTACTTGTAATAGGGTTTGTAAGCGAACAGCATGGATCCTGATCAGACTGCGCGGATGCGCAGGCTGGTCTGGATCATGCTGGTCGCAAACCCATTATGTTGGTTTTGTCGTGACGCGGCTCATTTAGATTTTTTTTCTTCAGATTTTTTTTGATAATTTTAAGTAACCCAGTGTGTTGTTATTTTGCAGATACCCAGTGAATACCAAATCCTACTGTTTTGTAATGTATAACAAAAGAAGGAACCCAAAGAGAACATATTCTGTAAGTCTTTATTCAATTTTTATTTAATGGTTTTTTAGTCATTTAACATTTATCTAGACATATATTTTGTTTCCATGTTTATATTCCTCTAAATTTAGTAATTGTCTAGGCATATATATTGTTTCCTATTATCACTATTTGATAATAATTTAGTAATTTATATATTTATATTTATTTTTTTCTAGTCATATATCCCCCTATCTCATATTTATTGTCTTGTATATTTTGTTTCCATGTTATATTCCTTTGTATGTAATTTATGTCTAGGCATATATCGCTGTGTATTTAGTTATTGTCTATGCATATATCCCTTTGTATTTGTCTAGGCATATATCCCTGTGTATTTAGTTATTGTCTATGCATATATCCCTTTGTATTTGTCTAGGCAAAGATCCTTGTGTATTAAATGATTGTCTAGACATATATCCCTCTGAATTTAGTTATTGTCTAGGCATATATCCATTTATATTTAGTTATTGTCTAGGAAGATATCCCTTTGTATTTTTTCTACGCATATATCCCTTTGTATTTAGTTAATGTCTAGGCAATAATCACTATTTCTTTAGTGATTGTCTAGGCATATATCCCTTTGTATTTAGTTATTGTAAAGGCATATATCCCTTTGTATTTAGTTAATGTATAGGCAATAATCACTTTTTTTTTAGTGATTTTCTAGGCATATATCACTTTGTATTTAGTTATGATCTAGGCATGTATCACTTTGTATTTAGTTATTGTCTAGGCATATATCACTTTGTATTTAATTATTGTTTAGGCATATATCCCTTTGTATTTAGTTATTGTCTAGGCATATATCACTTTGTATTTAGTGATTGTCTAGGCATATATCCCTTTGTATTTAGTTATTGTCTAGGCATATATCACTTTGTATTTAGTTATTGTTTAGGCATATATCCCTTTGTATTTAGTTATTGTCTAGGCATATATCACTTTGTATTTAGTTATTGTCTAGGCATATATCCCTTTGTATTTAGTTATTGTCTAGGCATATATCACTTTGTATTTAGTTATTGTAAAGGCATATATCCCTTTGTATTTAGTTAATGTATAGGCAATAATCACTATTTTTTTAGTGATTTTCTAGGCATATATCTCTTTGTATTTAGTTATGGTCTAGACATGTATCACTTTGTATTTAGTTATTGTCTAGGCATATATCACTTTGTATTTAGTTATTGTCTAGGCATATATCCCTTTGTATTTAGTTATTGTAAAGGCATATATCCCTTTGTATTTAGTTAATGTATAGGCAATAATCACTATTTTTTTTAGTGATTTTCTAGGCATATATCACTTTGTATTTAGTTATGGTCTAGGCATGTATCACTTTGTATTTAGTTATTGTCTAGGCATATATCACTTTGTATTTAGTTATTGTTTAGGCATATATCCCTTTGTATTTAGTTATTGTCTAGGCATATATCACTTTGTATTTAATTATTGTTTAGGCATATATCCCTTTGTATTTAGTTATTGTCTAGGCATATATCACTTTGTATTTAATTATTGTCAAGGCATATATCCCTTTGTATTTAGTTATTGTCTAGGCATATATCACTTTGTATTTAATTATTGTTTAGGCACATATAACTTTGTATTAAGTTAATTGTCAAGGCATATATCCTTGAGTATATAGTTATTGTCCAGGCATATATCCCTTTGTATTTAGTTATTTGTCTAGGCATATATCCTTGTGTATAAAGTTATTGTCTAGGCATATATCCCATTGTATATAGTTATTTTCTAGGCATGTCTCACTTTGTATTTAGTTATTGTCTAGGCATATATCATTTTGTATTTAGTTATTGTCTGTTGTCAATCATAGTATCATGTCGCATATCTTTCTTGTTAATTTTATGATAATTATATTCTTTTACGGCCAAATGAAGACTGAGAACGTTCAGCCCAGGTTCAGGAAAAAATTCTTTTTACTATGAGGGTTAAGCTTTTACGTATTGTGTAAGTTTGCTATTTTTTTTTGTCCACAGTCAGGGTCGTCTTTATTATCATGTTTATTTACAGCTTCTGATGCATTCTTTTTTTGGGTTAGATTGGTTTGTGCTTTTTTTCTTTGACGGATGCTTACCAAAATATTACAAATCTAAAGATAAAAGTATATGATGTTTACATTTCAGTACAACAGTCTCATTTTTAGCTTGTCTAGTTAGTTATTATGATTGCTGGGGCGGTGGCATTGTAGTCCTGAAAAAACTTTAATGTAGCCAATTATTTAAACATTTTAAAAGTAATCAATGTTATTCAACTTGGAATACTTGCTAAATACGACAGTGTGATTTTTGTTTGACAAGAGGCGTATTTCTAAAAGCAATAATTTTGGAGTTATGCCCCCTAAGAATTTTTAACAGACAAGCGTTTACACCACATATGGTGTGCTTGTTCTATTTGTGTATGACTCAATAAATCTTCATGTAAATTTTTGTCAGTTATTTCATTCAATAGAACTTCTTATCAGCTACAAGGAAGTAGGGGGAGGGGGGATTTTGGAAGAGGCAAGAAACGATTCTTTGTTTTAGGCTTTGTACTGTAGTTATTAAAGGAAACACTTTTGATCAGGAAACATTGTATTTCGAGTATGAACACACAAATGAACTTTACTGCTTAGATAATTTTTGTTTTGGATAGACTATTACTAATAAAGTCATAAAATGATAGAATGATATGATTAAAATAGCTTGAAATATAAAGGGAATTCTGTTTTGTAGGTTGAATTAAATACAAACGGGATGGTAAAGGTATGCCCAGAGGGCATTGGGCTGATATAAATACACTTAGTACATGGAACAATTATAGTAGTAGCGTAGACAACTTTATTTAAATGGTACATATAAACATGTAACATCAAATAAATAATAGTAGATATAAAGTTGGGAAAAAAAATAAAACTTAATAAAACTCATGAAAATGCTGCTTTTTTTGTTTTTTTTTGTTTTTTTGGAAAATAAGAATATTTATAAACCAGAGACGATTCTTCTTGCATATCAGACTTGATTTTCTAGATTGCATCTTATTTTACAACCTGGATAAGTCACGTGTTTTGAATGAAGTTATTTCGCCATTGGAAATTCGTATGCTACCAGAACCAATAGCGAGTATTAAAAATAATAGCTTTTGTTACAAGTTTTTCTTTCCAAACTATAAATAACAAATTATACATGTTTTTCTTTCCGAACTATAAATAACAAATTGTACATGTATGTTATATGCAAGAAGAATTTCTATAATCAAGTTCAGGTTGCTGGCATAGGCTAGAATATCTGGCTCTTGCATTATTGTTTTACGGTAACTTGGAAGAGCCTGGTTTCAGCCATAAAGAGTTACCATGAACCTAAAAGTTCCTGTCTGTACCAGCAGTCAGTGTAAGACTCTTATAGTTTATATAATAACCATGTCTAAGAAACATATTTGTAAAAAATCTGAGGGAAATGAAAAACAGCTTTGTAACATTTATAGTACTTATTCTATTTTCATTTGTTTTTGCATATTTGTTTGTCATTTGTATTTTACTTTGTTTTTATTGTTTTATAATTTCATTGTTTAAAGCAATTTTATATTATTTCCTGTTTCTCAAATTGAGGCAGATAACACAGGATATAAATGTATAAATATGTTTTTGATGTATCTACTCCAGGTCTCTGGATTATCAGATACTAGTGGGGCAAATGACGTGACTATGCCATTAGGATTGAAAAATATTTTTTGATATGTTTATAGCATTTGATGCAAGTCTTTACCAATAACTTATGTGCATAATTTCAAACGATTCACTTACTGGGTTTCGCTTGCTCCAATATTTTTTCCAGAATATCATTTTTTATTGTGCAAAATGACCCAAAAAAATATTGAGAAAAGTTTCAATGCTTACTCAAATTAAGCTGTGAATGACACTTAAGTTTGGTTTTGAAATTTGATTCTGATTACATTCCTTTATTTTCTTTTTTCATATTTTTCTTTAAATGCTCCAGTTGATCTATGTAAAATGCTAAGGTTATGATAATGTTTTTTGCATTTTGACCTCAGTGAACATCCTTTTGAAAATCATGAACTAGAAGTGAGTAAGGAACACTCGAGTTTAGTGGAAATGTCTTATTTTATATACTATTGGCATAGACAAGTCAATCTAATTGCTACAATTCAGTGGGTTTAAAAAAAAGGACGTGGTTTAAACAAAAGATCTTGTTTTGCACCAGTCACACGGGTAGAATCTATAACTGCTATAAAGCTAATTGTATAATATTAAATGTTTATTTCTTCTATTGGTAAAAATATATATTTTCATGATGTAAAACACCAGAAATTAAATCAACATTTTAGAATTTTTAAAAAAAGACGAGAACATGACATTTGATTAGTTGATTTTAAACCAATATTTTTAAATAACCAATAGCAGAGCTTGTTTCATTTTGGAAACCTGAAACTCAGTACCTTGCATCTCTATTCAATATCAACAAAGATGTTGTATGCAATAGTCAAGTTTTAATGGTTTCTAATGTACATGTGTTTGTATTTGTTATTGTTGCTATCTGTCATATGAATGTATTTCTAGGTAATAAAATCTAATAGGCGCATTATTTCCCCATTTTAGCCTCATGAAGTGCCAGAAGCGTACAAGAGAAACTGGAGAGAGAAAAGTTCAAGCAGCACAGAGGGACAACAAGAAAAGAAGTCCACAGTAGATGAAGAGGAAAATGTCCCTTTGCTCAAAGTTAAAATTGAAAGGGTATGATATAATGTTGTCCATATGTTTAAATTTGGGGTCCGTGGCCAAGTGGTGTACGTTGTTGACTTCAACCCATTTGCTCCTAACCTAATCCACTGTGGGTCCGAATCTTGACAAGCACTTTGGATTCTTCCATGTGAGGTAGCTATCCAGCTAGCTTATGGAATGTCGGTGGTTCTACTCAGGTGCCCATTTGTGCCTGAAATAATGCATGGATGGGCACATGAGGACCTACCTCCACCAGTAAAGCTGGAAAGTCGCTATATGACCTATACTATGTTGGTGCAACCAAAAAAAAATCAGTTTTAATTGAATTAGGAAGTTAATGTTCACTGTACTGTTCCTTTGCTTAATAAAAAAAAAGAATAAAAAAGTTAACAATAATAAAATTGAACTGGTAACTTAATATGATGTCCTTTCACTGGATATTAAAATTGAAAGGGTTACTTAACTTAATGTTACTTTACTCGATCATTGAAAGGGTAAGTCCTGGTAATGTCCTTTACTAAAAAAGTCCTTTACTATAAAAGTTGAAACTGCCATTGATTCATCCAGTTTCATGTAAATATTTGAACCTGTGGTGTAACATTATACAATTTTAGACTTTTGTTAAGGTTAATGTATGATTTTTGGACCGGAGATAAATATAATATACATATAAATATGGTTTTAATGTTTTTCAGCGTAAAGAGAAAAGAGATCGGGTGAACAAGATTATGGACTCATTGAGCAAAGGGATTGCGTCGCCAAGCAAGAAAAGAAACGACTTGTCGTACCTCCTTACTAATACCAACTACGGGAGATGAGACCAAATATTTCAGAGTTCAAAAACTGTTGGACCAATGTAACACAGAGTTGTCCCCCTTGTTGAGAGGTTGTACAGAATTTGTAGAATATAAGGATTGGACATAATTTTACATTGTATAATAGTAAAGTGTTTTATTGATTGTTATAAGAATGACGGAATTTACCGAGTTTTGTTTTTCTGTCGTGGAAGTTGTTATATGATGACTAAACAAAGGATAACTTGAAAAAGGTTTCTTCTCTAGTGTTAAGCTTGTGGAGAAGTTGAACAAAATGTTTCAGACAATACAGCAGATGAAACAATGGATACTTTATAGTGTAGAAAAATACGATAGCTTTAAAGGCGTTAAAAGTGAATGGGTTTTTTCTGATGGAAATACGTTTTAATATTTACAATTTTCTTTATTTGAGGACGTGTTATGGAAATCTTCGATGAAGGTTTATGCTGCGTTGTGATGTTTATATACCTTTAAAATGGCATGAATTGAAAGAGATCTTGATTAACTAGGGCATTGAAAAGTCCCGCGGGGTGACCCATTTTATGTACTGTGTTGGAATGCTTGTTTGAATTTTTTTTTTTTTTTTTTTTTTTTTTGTGTAATGCGAGTTGTTGCCGATAAACCATCATAAGATGTTTGGTTTATGTAAATGTGATGTGAATGGTTGTCAATGAAATTGTATCGAGAATCTCCAGAAATGAAATTTGATTATGACGTCGTACTCCGACTGGTTCCAGTCGCGGGCATATTTTTATTGTTGTCATCTGGAATATGGTACCAATATGAGAGCATTTTGTTCGCATGATTTGATTTTGTTTGTCGGATCGAAAATGGCACCAAAATGTCATTTAAAAAAAAATGAAATTGTTTTGTGTATATACATATATTTCAATATGCCATATAAATATTGTGTTAAAACCGGAGTGCAATATGTTTCCCCCTTTAGTTTGATGCTCATTTACTATGTCCTATATCGGATCATTGGATGGATTTTACAAATTAAATATTTGTCAGATTTTTTTTTTTAACAAATATTTTTACTAAACAAATACTGTACATATATTTTTTAAAATCTGTAATGTGGGATTTTTTTTCTTCATAATAATCTTTTTAATTATATATACAAAGCATTTGAAAAGCTTTCAGAAATGTGTTTTTTCGTGTTCTGTAATTGTACATATTTTTATCTCGTTTTTTTCTTGTTTATATATACATTTTTGTAAATATGGCTTATTTTTTTATGTAATTGTTATATTTTGTACATATATTTTAGTATAGTGAGTGAAATTTTCTTCTTTTTTTTGCCATATTCCTGATATTATCTTCATAGAACAAAGTAAATTTTTAAAAATTTAATGTACATATATCCGTGTTCTTCTAATTTAGCATAACCTTTTAAAAATTTGTGTAGCAATGAAATGTGTATTATAAACAGATATAGATATGTATGTATGTATATATATATATTAAGATAAGTGTATTATATCGTTATTTTGAACTTTTAAATCACAGAAATTAATTGTACAGTTTTGTTTATACATATCCCGCTGTAGTAAAAGAAGAAAAGAAAAAAACCAACCTTTTATGTGTTCCATTTTAACCCCTTTGTTTGCCATTTTAGATTTAAATATCATCTCATTTTTCAAAAGGGTATTATGTCCCCTTGATATATATATAAATACTGTATTGAAAAGAAACAATATAATATTATACAAATTTATCACTAAATTTTATCACAGAAAATGCTGGAAACATTTTCTTAACGTAACTGGTATGTCATTTTTGCACAAAAATATGAAAAGTTGAAACTTTTTTTTTTGATAACAGTTTGCCTTTTTTAACACAAAACCTGTATTAATGGCTGTAAAGCTATATCTAATGAAATATATTTTTTTAATGTTTGAAATGCAAAAACAATGTTGTTTCCATAAACTCAATGGTGATTCTTGTCAAGAATTGTAACATAGTTTTATTACACACTGTACTTACCTACTAAAATGTTCTGGAACAAAATAAGCAGATTTTTCAAGTAAAGTTTGATTTGTAATAATTTCATGCATGTGCCATTTGCTATAAAAGGAATATACAAACATACTGATTTCATACAGGAATTTTAGAATCATTCTTTTACAAAATGCAAACATTAATTCTGAAAGCTATACAGACAGCAGATGTATAGCTGTATGTACTTTAAAATGCTTTGCCAGATTTACTGTTGAACTGCTTGATCATGAGAGAGCCCTTTCTATCCATTTTATTGTTTGATTGAATCGCATTTGTCAATGTTTTTTTTAAAATTTAACTTTCCTTACTGAATATTAAATTTAAGGTTGTTGAATATTACAACGTGAGTTATAGAGATTAGTAATAAAATATTTACACATATTAACTACATTTTATCGTAATGCTGTTATTTGAAACATTGTAGAATCAGACAGGTTCAGTTAAAGTTACGAGGCACTACAGCAACAGTCAGTTAAAACTGGATGCAGTGAAAGCAATTACCGATAAACTAAGTTGCAGATCTGTCTTAAAGGGAATCCACTGAGGTTTTTTGACATGGCAGGATTGAAAAAGCTTTTTGATTTGGCGGGGGGATTTTTGGACCAATAACTTGTGTGCAAATATTTAGACCATTCTCTTACCTATTTTTTCAGAGTAATCATTATTATTGTGCAAAATGACGCAAAAATGAAAAGCTTTTTAACACTTCACACATTCAAATCAGGCTAAGAATTGCACACACAAAAAAATTGATATGATTATAATTCTGGGTATATTTCTTCATTTTCCTTTTACAGATTTTTCCATTAAAGTGCTTCACATTATATATGTAAGAATTTCAAATTTTATGTTTTAAGCTTTTTGACCTCAGTGGAGTTCCTTTAAGCAATTACACAAATGGATATTTGTACTTGAGACAATAGAACCATGGGCATTTCTGTTGACACTGTAAGGAATAAATGAGCCGTGTCACGACAAAACCAACATAATGGCTTTGCGACCAGCATGGATCCAGACCAGCCTGCGCATCCGCGCAGTCTGATCAGGATCCATGCTGTTCGCTATCAGTTTCACTACTTGTTATAGAGTTTGTAAGCGAACAGCATGGATCCTGATCAGACTGCGCGGATGCGCAGGCTGGTCTGGATCCATGCTGGTCGCAAAGCCATTATGTTGGTTTTGTCGTGACACGGCTCAAATGTCTTAAGTAAATCGAACCTTTTAAATTAAAAATGATTTTTGGTCTATTTTCAAAGTTTTTGTGGCTCTAAACATTATAAGGTTCATGGTAACGTTAAGAAATTTTATCACACACCCGTGCCGATTTTGCGACTCCGTAAATATGGTATTGCACGGCCGTGCATATATTTTGACGTGACGTCATTAGCGTTATACAAACATAGTGTAAAGACGCGCTAAATGTTAGTGTTATACTATAGACGCGTCAATGAAAAATGACTCTTATTTCACTTTAAACGGTCTTTATTTTGGGTATGTGATAAATAGAATATTAAATTCGTGTAAGTTCATTACTGAACTTATTGCACTCGTTGAATAAAATAATATTATTCAACTCGTGCAATAAATTCAGTATTGAACTTACACTCATTCAATATCCTCTATATGCTGTTTTGTTTTTAATGCAAATTAAAGTCAGTCATTCAAATGGCTTATTGCTGAACTAGTGGTATTGTTGTGATGTTGAGCTAGAAATAAATAAACAACAATTGTTAATGTTTGAAAAAGGAAAAAATACGGGGTAATGTTGATGTTATTTTTGAGGTACGTTAAAGTTGAAACACATTATTTTTCTAATCATTTATGTACAACAAGGTTTTGTTTTTTCTGCATTGACAATGAAATTTCTAGTTATTTGCTTCATAACTTGGGTAGATTTGATCCACCTGTCAACATTTATGCTTCTGTTGATTTTGAATTGTTTGCGCTTATAATGTAACCTACAAATTGAAAAATTAAGTTTTGGACTTGTAAAGATATTTTGGCTTTTGTATAACTTGCAAAAGGCAAAAAAAAAAAAAAAACATGTGTTTTGTTAGCATATAAACCTTTGCCACCTTAAACCAAAGCCTGTTTGGTTTCTTTAATTTTAGAATATTAAGGATCCAACTTTACAGGAAGGCTATAGCCAAAGTAAGGGGCATGATTTTCCATGCCATTTAAATCAAACATGAATTTTCCATGCAAAAATATTTGAAATGAAAATCCCATGTTTATTTTAAAAAATGGCGGGAATTCACATTTTATATTTTGTATGGAAATTTCATGTTTTATATAATTGGCATAAAAATTCAGGTTTTATATGTATTCATGGAAATTCAGGTTTTATATAAATGGCTTTGAAATTCATATTTATATATTGCATTGAAATTACATGTTGCTGTGACTACTGATTATATAGACTTGGGCTGTACCAAAGTTGAATGATATGAAATTCCTAGAAATAAATTTATCACAGTTTTTAGATCAATATAATACAATGGATTTATTTAGAATTTGTAATGATTAAATGCTTATCTTTAAGCAAATTAGTATATCACACACAAATATTTGCTAGTTAATCATGTATGGAACGGAATCAAAAGATTTTTGTTTACATTTTTTTTTGTGCCATAATGTATTATTATTAATCTACAGCACTAATAGGGCAAATAAAAAAAAATGGTGCAAGTTACCATTATCCTAGAAAGTATTATTGTTGTATCTTTATAACAGTAGTTTTGAACCCCCATTACGCTGCTGGAACTGAAAAGAAATTGGCCTTTGCCACCAGTATAGAGCCAGGCCAGCCTGCACGTCCGTGCAGTCTGACCAGGCTCTATACTGTTGGCTCACCAAGTATAAATTTTCATCTGATATCCCACTGAATTGATAATCTAGAGTAAGTTCTAAAAAAAAATGCTGGTCAAATTGATTTGCTTCGCATGTTATAGATTAGGCACTCGAATGAGCATAATCATGAACTGCCATGTTGGTATTCTCTGAAGATTATGACATCACAGTGGGAAAATGTTCTAATAATAGGTATTATGAAAACAGTCACAATGAAAGGCAAGTGTCCACAGCTATATTTAGGTATTATGCAAAATTAGCCAATTGTTTGATATAGAATAAGCAAAATGATAGTTGATATCGAATAAACAAAATGATCTTCTGTTGCCAGAAGGATTTTTCATGTAAAATTGAAAGAAAATGAGAATGAATCAGTCAGCTTGGAAATAATAAATAAAAAAAATAACAATTTGATAACCAAAAAAAAATGTAAAGATTATGCAATAATCCGAGATGCTTTTATAACCAGTGAAGATGATTTTGGTAACCAGTAGATAAGTACATTAACCAATTCAGCAAGCAATTTTATTTTACTAATTACCCGATGTTAATAAATAAATTAAATAGATTGGTCAGTCAATTTCTTAACAAGTACATGTAGCTAAATTGATCGACAAAGTGTTATTGAATTACTTTTACGAATGTAAGTTGACAATTTTTTATCTTCCGAAATACATGTATTTACATTATTCGACATCAGCATATAACTGCCGTAGATGTATTATTGTTCTTTCTTATTTGGGAGGACAATTTTAATTATAGATCTTTCTTCATGTTGGAGTTGATCATTTTTAAAAGATGACATTTTTGTACATTTGTTATCATCTTTCTGTTTTATGTAACATAGTGTTAGTTCATACTGTTAACCTTTACCCTGCTGGCAACTGGATCAGAGCCCGGCCAGTCTGCACATCTGTGCAGTCTGACCAGGCTCGAAACTATTGGCTGTACGCTCTACACTAGTGGCTGAGCTAAACTTTGAATTTTCATCTTGATATCCCCAAAATTGATAATGGACCATCCCAAAACTGGAAACTGGGCAAGTTCTTTTCAGAAATTCAGCAGGTTAAAGGTTAATTATCAAAGGTCATAGCATCATGCTTTATGGTATGGTTAATGTTTTTTAGTGTGTTTTTGTTACTGACATAACATATAATGTTTAATTGAATAAAGAATATTATGATAATTACTTTGAAAGTATTTTTGACTTTTGAGTACTTCATATTGATTGAAAAAATTATATACTTGAATGGAACAGTTAACAAATATTGGTTGAATAAAAAATTATATACTTGAATTGAACAGTTAACAGATATTGGTTGAATCTAATTATATTTTGTACACAATCAATTCTGCTTTGATAAACTGATTGTAATTTTGGAAAAACGTAGTTTCATTTGTTGTCTATGATGGGTCGTCCCTTACATGTTCAACTGTATTTTGACTACATTGTTCAGTTCAGTGTTTTGTAAAGTTTTTAGGTCCATCTTGAAGCATGGTGTTTTGATGTAGAATCAACTTTTAAAAGTAGTGATCTCCCTTGTTATTTGTCCCTGTATAGTTGATAGGGGAAATAATTATCATGACATGTTGAAGAAACCATTTATAATGCATTTGTGTGAGCTTATCAATGTTATTTATGACTTTGTTGTGACTATAATAAAATGTTTAGAGATTGAAATTGTTGCTTATGTTATTTTGTATTTCTGTTGTTTTTATGAAAGTCAGATCTTGTCATTTCATTATTAAAATTTGGGACATAACATAGTCTAGAGTTCTTCCCCCTCACACTATGTAGTAAATGTAGGTAGGGAACCAGACAAGGTCATAATATACAAGCCAATGCATAAAAGTTTAACCAGTCCTTTCGTATATATATTGTTTTAACATAATAATCTGAAAAAAGAAATCAATTTAATGTTTTTTATCTGTGAAAGAAAATCCAGGAAAATGGCTTTTCAATTCTACACTTTGCTGATCAATCGATGGACTGTCAACACAAGCCATATTATCTAGTCAATGGTTGCTTGTCCTATTATATTGTGTCCCATTTGAAAATCAAATCTACTTAAGAGCTGACCTAGTGATTAAGATGTCCATCCTTTCAGATATTTGGTTTAAGCCTTTTTAGGTCACAACCATGTTTTAAGAAAAACAGACTCAGGGTGGTTCATATAAGATTCGAGATATCAGGGTGATTCACATATGATTCGAGATATCAGATGGTTTATATAAGATTCGAGATACCAGGATGGTTTGCATAAGATTCGAGATATCACGGTGATTCATATAAGGTTTCGATATATCAGAGCGGTTCATATAAGATTTCGAGATATCAGGGTGGTTCATATAAGATTCGAGATATCGGGGTGGTTCATTTAAGAGCCAAGTTTTATCACAATTGCATGAGCCAAAATAATTGTTTTAACAAAGGGACTAAAAGATAAGCTTTATAGTTCAAAAAGGTGTTTAAAATATATCGTAGAAATTGACCCAATTTGTCAACCAAGAAAGCCTATTGAAAAGTTCATTTTGATACAAATATTGATTGCCAACATTTAAACAAATATCATATGATTTGACATCGTTACCTTGTTTTTATCGTAGGTAATTCACTTCCTTATGATGCGTACACAGTAACGTGTATAATGTGATATGTTGACCATTCGGAAACTACTCGTTCAACTAATATTTACATACCAATTAACATGAATAACGCTATACATGAGTATTGCAGCGATGTTAAACTTTCAGTGCCTTTTTTTGGAACGTGGGCAGAATTTCTGGGAAAGATATACATGTATTATCAATGGGTACATGTTGATTAGTAGTATTTTTTACGCATACGACTACATGTAAAATGTATCGCTAGCTGCACATATTTAATTACATGAACATAAAAAGTAGATTATACTATAAAAAAACAATAATTATTGGTGATGCCAAGCAGACACTTTAAATGTCACATAAATATGTTCAAGTATTTTACAAAATCTTAAGAAGTTAGGAACTATTCTCAGATGGGTAGCGAAATAATACGCTATCATCATTTTAACACATTTTCAAAATCAAGGTAAATGCGTGCTACGTACACGATTTGTCACTTCAAAAAGTGATTCCAAACATTAATAAGATATACGAGGGGTTATCCAAAAATTCGTGGACTTTTTAAATATCTCTTGAACGTCAACGTGTATTGTAATGAAATTTTATCAGCATACATTGTAGAATATTATCAACACATTTTGAAAGGTACAGTCAATTGTGTCCATAAATAATGATTTTATATTATACGCCCGTTTGAAAAACGGGACGTATTATGGGAACGCCCCTGGCGGGCGGGCGGGCGGCGTCCAATTTTGTCCGGAGCATATCTCCTACATGTATGGAGGGATTTTAATGAAACTTCATATAAATGTTATCCACTATGGAGTATGAGGAGCAGTGTCGCGCACATGAACCAGGTCTCTAGGTCAAAGGTCAAGGTCACACTTAGAGCTCATTGAAAAATGCTTGTCCGGGGCAAAACTTCCACATGTATAGAGGGATTTCAATATTATTTGGCACAAATGTTCACCATTGTGAGGCGGAGTGTCGCGTGCAAGATTCAGGTCCTTGCGGCCAAGGTCTAGGTCACACATAGAGGTCAAAGTTCAGATAAAAATATGAAGATGTGTATATGGACCATTTAGTCATCATTTATTGAGGGATTGTAACACAAATGGTCATTATCAAGACTATGGCTGTGATACATATAATTTAGGTCAATATATACAAGGTCAAGGTCACTAAAGATGATGAAATATCCAGATTTTGTAAATAGAATTTAATCAAAGGGAGACAACAAAGTTATTACTTTGTTCATAAATGACTTACACAATTACTCCCCTTGATCTTTTTTCATTTTCAATTCTAAAAATAGAATTTAATCAAAGGGCATGAAATAATCCTCTTTCTTGGACTTGAGTATGTTCTAAAGAATGTAACATTTATTTACACATGTTTCATTCATTGGTCAAGATTCTTAACTGTGATAACTATGGTGTTCTGTAGACTTGGTATTTGTTCATAAAGATCATACAGTAATTACCTTATCAAATGTAAATACTTTCTCATAGAAATTTAATTATATTTTAATTTTCAAGTAAATATCAGTTCAGCTCATTCAAAGATTAAGAATTGTAATGAAATGTATTTCCCTAGAATAAAATCTTAAATCAGAATTTTCTAGTTATTAAATTACATGTACTTTTTATACGCACGTTTAAAAAAAGATAAAAATATGAAGATGTGTATAGGGACGATTTAATCATCATTTATTGAGGGATTGTAACACAAATGGTCATTATAATGACTACGGATGTGACACATGTACTTTAGGTCAATATATGCAAGGTCAAGGTCACTAAAGATGGTGAAATATCCAGATTTTGTCTGGCGCATATCTCCTACATGTATGGAAGAATTTTATAATACTTTATGGAAATGTTCACCACCATGATATGTATTGCTCCATGCATGATCCAGGTCTCCAGGTCAAAGGTCAAGGTCACACTTAGAGCTCATTGAAAAACGCTTGTCCGGAGCAAAACTTCTACATTCATAGGGGGTTTTCAATATAACTTGGCACAAATGTTCACCATTGTGAGGCTGAGTGTCGCATGCAAAATTCAGATCCCTGCGACCAAAGTCAAGGTTACACATAGAGGTCAAAGTTCAGATAAAAACTTGAAGATGGTTATAGGGACCATTTAGTCATCATTTATTGATGGATTGTAGCACAAATGGTAACTATCATGACTACAGGTGTTACACATTTAATTTAGGTTAATATTTGCAAGGTCAAGGTCACTGGAGATGATTAAATATCCAGATGTTGTCCGGAGCATATTTTCTACATGCATGGAGGAATTTTAATGTTACTTTTATAGAATTGTTCACCACCATGAGACGTAGTGCCCTGCACATAAACCAAGTCTCTAGGTCAAAGGTGAAGGTCACAGTTAGAGCTCATAGAAAAACACTTGTCTGGAGCAAAACTTCTACATGCATAGAGGGATTTCAATATAATTTGGCACAAATGTTCATCATTGTGAGGCTGAGTGCCGTGCATAAAATTCAGGTCCCTGCGACCAAGGTCAAGGTCACACATTCTGTGCATATCTTCCCTATTGATTTGTTTTAAGGTTCATTTAACAACACAGTGCCAAGAATAAAAACTTGCTTGCTAGATAACACTTATCCATAATGCCCCCATCTCCATCTAAAGCTTTTTCGTAAACGGGCGTATTTTGTGACTATGGCACCCTTGTTGCTTTTAAATAAGCACATACACGGCACCCGGCGCACGGTAGAAAAACGCAGTAAGTCATCGTATATTTCTTGCTAAAAAAAACTAAAAAATAACGTAGAAAACCCGCTGAACATCGCATGTTTCTTCTATGATGTCATTTAAGTAATTCTTTAAAATAATGGACGTCATTTCCGCTTATTTTTGTTGATATCGCTAGAAACGCCAGACGCCTTTATTGTTTACAACGGAAAATGACGGACACGCGGTCATTAGAAAATCGTGCGATCGTATAACGATCATAAATTTTTGTTGTAATTTGGGGATGACACCTACAAAAACATTTGATAAAAATCAGCAGACGGACAGAGAAAAGAAAATTTCACGATCATTAGTGTTAAAGTGGCATAAGAAATTTAGTGATGGACATTACTTTGAGAAGCAGTAACCGTCATTGACTGCGTAACGTTGAAGCACAAGTTGTACGTTAATATTATGACGTTAACGCCAATAATTTTTTTGTGGTGCGCCGCTGTCGCCGACATGTGTTTATGTAAAATTAGATATTGTTGGAATGAAGAAAGCTACTCACATGAATTTTGTCTGTGTTTATTTGTTATTAATTCTTCTAAGCAGTGTAAGAATTTCAAATTAATACCTCAAATATATTTTACGCAACAAAGAAAGTCCACGAATTTTTGGATAACCCCTCGTATGTAAAAGTTATTTCAATTACGATTATAATTTTACGTTATCAGAGAGTTTTACAAATTCACTTAAAATTCAAATGTTTTCGCCTTGCTTTCCCGCGTGCTCTTCCATCTCCTTGAAGCGTGCACACCGCAGAGTGGAACAGGGAATCGGCAGAAAATTTCTAGAACAAACAAAAAAAGGTGAGTGATCATATAACATTTGTTTACTGTAACAGTGGGATGCCGCTAATGGCCGAGTCAGACACTTATAATACAGCTACCATGTGGCCGCGCCAATTACTTGAGGAATTTTCTGCTTTTTTTATATACCATTCGATATTTGAATAATACAACCTTCACCATGTTCACGGCAAATATTTTGCCGATTTTAATGGTACATATGAGCCGCGTCACGACATTACCAACATAGTGCGTTTGCGACCAGCATGGATCCAGACCAGCCTGCGCTTCCACGCAGTCTGATCAGGATCAATGCTGTTTGCTTACAAACCCTATTACAAGTAGAGAAACTGATAGCGAACAGCATGGATCCTGATCAGACTGCGCGGATGCGCAGGCTGGTCTGGATCCATGCTGGTCGCAAACGCACTATGTTGGTTTTGTCGTGACACGGCTCATATATTTTTTAATGTAGCTCTTATACTTTTCCCGAGAAATTGTGACACATTGTTCCCGCATAATTGCATCAAAATTTTGACGCATATAAAAATATGCAAGCAAGCACAACTGGACAAGAAATAGAACCCGATGGGAATGATAGTCAGTTAGGAACACATCACAAGCTAGTAAGGTAGGAAAACTAATAGAGCTGGAAAGTGATGTGCCATTGGAATCAGTAAATATTTGTTACCTAACAAAGGTAAATAATCACCACTTTTGTGCTTAATTTAATAGATAACGTTATGTGTTGTTCAGGGTTTGTATATTTTTTTATATATAAACAGTGCATAATAATGTTCAGCAAAATAGTGTTTAAAATTATGTTTTCCATTTTAAAGCAGCTTTAAATGCTGTGTTACAGTAGATGTTTGACAGTAAGCTCGGATTTAATTGTCAATTTAAATCCGTGCAGTTAGTAAAAATATTTAGACTGGTATTTTAATAATAATAGATCTAATAATAATAATAATAATAATAATAATAATAATACTTATCAATTTTAAAGCAGTGGTTATATAGTTGGCTCGTAGGTATTGGGAAAGGGGGCAATCACTATTTTATTCAAGCCCTATACATTTGATTGTGTATGCAAATATTCGATTAAATTTTAGAATAAATTCCAATATTTTATAATCAAGTACTACGTCACAAATTACCTCCCTTGCACCTGGCACACAAGTTGCACAATTTACCATTTTAGCAGAAATTAAATTGTTTTGCGGTATATCCACAAATATGGCATCAGTTAAGTCATCAAGGTTTGCCCTTCTTAAAATTGAAGATGACGATTCTGACGACAGCCAGAAGAAAGAAGCGCAATCGGGGAAGAAAAATGCCGGCCAGGCGCAGAAAAAGAAAAATAAGAAGAAAAGACAACAACAAAATCAAGCAGAAATAGAACAGTACTTGACTACTCAATTTCTGGACATTTCTAATTTTGAACTTCGAGTTTTATGCATGTAGCGCAGTATCGTAATGTCTGATATCTTTGCAAGGTATAAAAAGTGTATTTAGTATTCGGATATGCAGTTCGGACATCAACTTTATTTTAAGATAAACACCATGTAACAAATAAGAAAATGTAAATTCAATTAAAGATATAGGAAGAAACTTTAGTCCAAACAATGGCCTGATGCAGGGTTCCTTCTGTTGCTCGTTAATCATGGCACCAAATAAACATAAAATCTTACATTGGCAAATTTTACTGGAGCCAATGTAGGATAAAAATATCTAAAAAAACTAGTACACTTATAAAATCAACAAGCGGTGAACATAAATTGCATAAGCTAAGGATCCCACAGTCTTCGAAATTAATGCCAGTCCGAGGCCCGAGGCCACTAAATTCGCATCGGTCCGGTGCATTATGACAAGGTTGGTGGTCCGACGAACCAGTAGATTTTTTGTCATGAAAAAATATTGTAAGAAAAATTCATCAAAATAATGAAGAAGGGTTCTCTAAAAGATTGATCTTTTTGCCTTTTTTGCAAATGAAACCCATCAATTCTGTCCTAAATGTTCAAAACACAGCAATAGATGTCTAAATTGTATTGCTCCTCCACAGCACGCCTCTTCGCAGATGACTGCCTACTATATAGGACCATCAGCTCTGAGGAAGACAGCATTGCACTACAACAGGATCTTGACCGCCTACAAGAGTGGGAGCAAGACTGGTTGATGATGTTTAATCCCGACAAGTGTGAGATGATTCGCATTACCAACAAGCGGAAAGTGATAACTTGGTCCTATGCCATCCATGGCCAAACACTCAAGCAGACGAACAAGGCAAAGTATCTGGGTGTCACACTTGACAATACACTTTCCTGGAACAGCCATATTGAGGCTACTGCAAAGAAGGCGAACACCACCACTGCCTTTCTACGCAGAAACTTATCACACTGTCCACAGAACATCAAGGCGACATGTTACAAAACACTGGTTAGACCTCAGCTCGAGTATGCTTCGTCAGTATGGGACCCATACACCAAGGCCAACATCAGTAAGCTCGAGAACTGCCAACTAAGAGCAGCCAGGTTCTGCACAGGTGATTATCGTTACACCAGCAGCGTTACTGCAATGATGGAAGCTCTAAGCTGGGACACTCTAGAAGCCCGCCGTCAGCAAACCAAAGCAGTGATGATGTACAGAGTCATTATTAGCCTGGTGGATATCCGAGCCCATCACATACTGATCCCTGCTGGAGTACACACCCGAGGCCATGCCAACAGGTACCTACAACCCTTCACCAGTGTCAACTCATACAAGTATTCGTTCTTTCCTTCTGGGATCTGACTTTGGAACAGCCTACCAAAAGTCGTGATGACAGCCCCGTCCCTAGAGGTCTTCAAGACGAGGATGGGTGCGCTGCACGAGTAACTCTGGAGCATGATGTTTTTAACCTGTTTTTAGCTGCACTTGATGTTCCCTTCACTCATGTAAATAGTCACAATTGTGCGACGATGCTCCAGCACATTACCCGGAAGAAGAAGAAGAAGGCCGCCATTTTTTTTCTTGGATATTTTCTGTACCGCACCATACAGTTACGGAAATTAAACCATTGTTTATTATGGTCATTATTTAGCTATGATTTTGTGATTATTGAGTTAAGTAAAAATTTCGAAAATGATTTGTTTGAAGCAAATTGCCTTGTTCATGTTCAATTCTAATCAATTTTGCCTAAACATTTGTCCTTAAAGATTTTTCTAAGCTGTCAACATATGGCCCAGAATACAAGACATATTATGCTTCTTTCAAAATTATCAAGGGAAGCATTATAAAGTGTTTTCCTGTTCCCATCAATTTATTACCTATCTATGTATTTGGTCCAGCTAAAAGTCACCAGGTCCAGTAAGATTTGATATTTTACTGGCCTGAATGTCCTGTGCTTTTTAAAGTTTTTCGTGAAGACTGATCCCATAAGTATCACAGGGCGAGAAAAATGTGACATTCTCCCCAGCTATATTGATATTCCTCCTCTAATTTCTAATAGGTACAGAGAACTATGTGAAATACGACCCAGAGCTTTATACAGTTTTGATCCCCTATTGGGCGCCAAACGTCACAGGGTGAGAAAAATGTGCTACTTGAACCCTGGACACTGGGAATACTGTACCGCGGTTCTATCAACTGAGCTATCCGGCCACTTACATACTATCTCCTCTAAATAGTGAACAGTTCTGAACTGTGACAAAGGCATTCTTTCAATGGTGTAATTATTAATGGCATAATCTTCAGCAACAATCATCCATTTGACAACAGGTGTTTGATTAAATATCTCACAACAGCGGTTTAATATTCACAAACAGTACCCCTTCAATATTTTTATGTCTCTGGGCATGGCCTTATATCTGTGTTTCAGTTATATAGTTATATTAAGATGGCAGTATTATTTTTTTAATGTCATCTTCAAAGAAAGTAAGATGAAAGTTAATTAACTTATCTCTTATTTTTTTCAGTTGAAGCACTTAGCCTTTGGTGTGCCTTCCAGAAATCACACTCACTCCGGATCAGAGCATCATCAAGTCAATGGTGGAAAAGTGCCAGACAAACAGTGGAATGAATGGCAGAAGATGGATGCTGAGGTAACCAATATTTTTGACAAAAGGTCTTTGATTTACGGTTTTGCATTATGCATATAATAAACTGCAGCTTTTTCGATAAGTCCAATTATATTCCAACTGAGTTGTTGAACTCTATATATTTTCTACATATGTTTAACATGTTATACCTTAATTGAAGAAAAGAGTAATGAAATGTTTTTGTTTTCAATGTAAGATTCAACTAAGAGATATCTTGAAAAAAATGCCCTTGTATTGTCTTTCATGTCTACTTATTTTCTTTAGTCAATCAAGCAGTAGATATGAAAGTAAAATTTTCATGAACTGTTTGCAATATTTATTTATGCTTAATGTTTTAGATTTACGGTAAATCCTCAAACCTCACATATGTTTTAAGTGTTTCATTTTCTACGGTAACTGTTGCATCTTTCAATGTAAAAAATGCGGAAAAAATTGCATTAATTAGTTTCTCTTTCTTTTTGAAAGTATTGACCGATATACTTGTATTATAACACAGTGATTTTAATTTTACTTTATTATAGTTTATATTAAAATTTTCTGTTTCAGTTTGCTGCTGACACGTTTGAGAAGGATTTAGAACAGGCCCTTTTAATGAGCAAACTAGAAAGTGAACAAACAAAACAGGTATGTTTTCTTTGAAAACTTACAGTTTGCACCTTTTCTATAAAGAACATTGAAAGTTAATAAATGAAGAAAATAAGTCTTGAATTTTTTGAACATCTCTAAACACTTATCCTGCTGATGCCTACAAAATCAACCCATGTGACCAGTCCAGATTAAGATTAGCTGGAAGGTTTGCTTTTCAATCAGTAGATACTTTGAAATTTCCGCTTAAATAGATGACTGGTCCTGTTAAAATAGATAGGATAGAGATTGGGAATTTATATTGGATTGGATTACATAGATCCATTTTAGATATATTAATTTAAAATTAAGAGAGACATTCCAAGTTTAACATGATAAGTTCTTATACTATGTCTACATGTAGCTTTCAGATCTGAAATTGTATAATTATGATATATTTGCCAGTGACATTTCAATAGGGCTGGGTATTGATCAGAAATTTCCGATACGATACGTATTGCGATACAGACCAACGATACACAATACGTATTGACGATACAGTACAATGATGCTTCATTGTTAGGATGTACTTATTAAAAGTACTATTTACATTTCATAGATGCCCTGGTGAAATATTATTGAATCTTTCTTATATCTGTTTTAGATTTTGACTTTGTTAATGATGATATATAATACAAAGCAGGTGCATAGGTACCTTAATTAGTACATTTGAGATAATATTTTGAAAATGACATGATGGCCCCTTTTTTAGATAAAACAATTATTTTGAAAAAAAAAATAAAAAGCTTTGTAGAGAAATAATTCAATGCAAAAATATAATTATGTAGATACTAGGAAAAGTTAACGCAGAAAATAATCAAAACATCACTATTTATTATGACAGGAGTCTAGTACTGTCTACAAGTCAACTGTTCTAAATTATAAGATCTTTATAATAAAATCAAATTTTTGTAGAATTTGAAATATATACGCTGAGAAAGTATTGGAACATTGAAAATTTTCTAACAAATCATGTTTTTTCTATCTTAAACGGTAAAATTACAATAAAAATATAAATATCATGTAATGATGTTGTGGTGTCGTAATCCGTAACGTACCGGGAAACGGTGTTTAGCTACGTCTTCGCGCAGTCACATTTATTTAGTTAGTAAACTACATCTTGGAAAATCAATAAATTTGTAGGATTTATGTGTTAACAATATGTGTTTGATTAAATTACAAGTAAATGTTTTTGGTCTAATACAAACTACTGCCGACCTGAAAGTATTTTTTACCAGTGTTAGAATAGGAGATTGAATGGCCGGATAAATTTTGTCACGGATTTATCCGTCATTTTGTGTATTGACACATTCGTTGTTCCACCTGAACTAATCAATACAGCCTTTCAAATATTGCTGAGGGCCTTCTTAACATTTACTTTAGAGAAAATTCCACACTTTTGACTTTTGTGTGGACATTTTAAAGACGATAGTTTTAATGTAAAGCCATCATGTTTATAAGTTACACTTTTTTATTAGGTTGTCTCCCTTTGTATTGGTATAGCTAAAACCTGATAACCGTACCGTATTGAAAAACGGAAAATCGATAAATACCGATTTACCGGTATATTGATCCAGCCCTACATTTCAAAGGACTACATTAACTTTGATATAGTTTTGCAATATTCCTTGGAAGATTATGGAGAGCTATTATACTTCACTTGACAGAATTATGAGCTTTTTGAAGTTAGAAATTTTACATTTGATCATCCAGGCTCTTGTAGTACTTACTATTAAGCACTGAGAATAGTCTAGCAGCTCTTATTAGCTTTATTAATTACATGTATGCTTATATACATGTATAATGAAGAATTTCACTGTTTCATTTTGATATTATAGTAATTGTTGCATCTCAATGTATAAATAAAATAAAAGATTGCTTTTTTGTTGTGCCCCCACGTTAGTGGCGGGCATTTAGATTTACCCTTGTCCGTCTGTCCGTCCGTCCGTTCACTTTTGTGTCGCACGTAACTCAAAAAGTATTTGACCTAGAGTCATGAAACTTTACAGGAATGTTGATCAGCATGTGTAGTTGTGCACCTGGGTATTTTCATCTGGATATTTTTAGTATTTTCAGAGTTATTGCCCTTGACTTAGTTAAATTTGCAATTTTCAACTTGTGTCGCATGTAACTCAAAAAGTATTTTACCTAGAGTCATGAAACTTTACAGGAATGTTGATCAGCATGTGTAGTTGTGCACCTGGGTATTTTCGTGTGGATATTCTTACTATTTTCAGAGTTATTGCCCTTGACTTAGTAAAATTTTGCAATTTTCAACTTGTGTCGCACGTAACTCAAAAAGTATTTGACCTAGAGCCATGAAACTTTACAGGAATGTTGATCAGCATGTGTAGTTGTGCACCTGGGTATTTTCTTCTGGATATTATTAGTATTTTCAGAGTTATTGCCCTTGAGTTAGTAAAATTTGGCAATTTTCAACATGTGTCACACATAACTCAAAAAGTATTTGACCTAGAGTCATGTACTTTACAGGAATGTTGATCAGCATGTGCATTTGTGCACCAGGTATTTTCGTCTGGATTTATTAAGTATTTTTAGAGTTATTGCCCTTCACTTAGAAAATTTTTGCAATTTTCAACTTGTGTTGCAAGTTTCTCAAAAAGGATTTGACATAGTCATTAAACCTTATGGGCAGGTTGCTCAGCATATTTTAGATTTGCACCTGGGGTTTTGCTTGTGGATTTATCCAGTATTTGTAGAGTTATTTCCCTTGACTTAGTAAAAAGATTGACAGAACAGTGGCGCGGTGGGGGCACCCGTGTCCTATGGACACATTTCTAGTTATCATTAATTTGTAAACTCCTATATATTTTTGTATCCATAGCAAGTTAAAAATGGCACAGACAAACCCAAAGGTGATGGTGATGCAAAAGAGAGCAAAAAGAAGAAAAAGAAAGAGAAACAGGCTATGTCCCTTGAAGAATTTAATAGACAATCAGAGGAAAAGAAAACTCATATAGATGGTAAACACGCATGCAGAAGTTTTAAGATATTTTTAATAAACTGTTAGTTTAAACATTATTTATCCAAGCATAATTGTAAAGAAAACTGTTTGCAACTGCTTCAAACCAGTCTCGGGCCGGCTTCCTTGATTGACATGTTATGAATACTGGTGTCTTATAAAAAAACATGGTCCCGATCCACCATTAAGACTCGAACCCATGATCCCTGGGTCGAGTGTCAGACACCTTCATCATTAGGGCACCACTTGCTTATCATGACAAGTTGCAGTTGTTAGTCAAGGGGCATAATTCTGGGAGGAATATTTTTGGAATTGCATCCCTTTTTAACTTAGAAAGTTTTAACAAACAAGCATTAATAATGCATGTGGTGGTCTTGTTTAACATATATGTAATGGTAATATTTCATTGAAAACAAGGGATATATGTTTTTGTGATAAAATTGCATATTAAATGAATAAAACAAAAATCCTTGTTAATTTTTTTTCTAATAGAGAATTTGTCTATATTTTAGAACTTGATACTCCCCACTCATCAGCCTCAGCAACTAAAGTGCCTCCGTCAGCCTCGGATACAAAGTTTTTCGATACAGTAGAAGATGATGTCAGTAGAATACTCAGGCAAGAAAAAATGCAAGAAGAATATAAAAAGGTAAATTCTTACCCATAACCTGCAGAATTTCTAAAATGGACTTGTCCAGCATGCAATTTTTGGAACAGTCTATTATTTGTTTTTTTTTTTGGTATATCAGGATGAAAATTTGAAGAAAGTCTGCCATTGGTGCAATCTGAAAAGATTCTATACTGGTGGGAAAGGCTAAAAACTTTTCGTTCCAGTATAGTAAGGGCGAGTTATATCTGGTTATATCACCCACAGATTTGAAGGCTGGCCTGTCTACTCATTTTTATGCCCCCGGGCATATAGTAATTGAACCGTCCGTCCGTCTGTCCGTCCGTCTGCACTCACAGGAGAGTAATTATGTGGCTAGAGGGACAATAGGTAACTGTTCTTTCTCTTTGATGTCATTCATTCCGTAATGCTTTTATGTGGCTATTTTCTTTTGCGTGGCAAAAAAGAACAATAGAGAGAACAATAGAGTAGCCACATAATAACTGTCCTGTGGTCTGTCCGTACGAGGTTAACCTAGAACGGCAAGTTGGATTTTTCTTAAGTTCTACCTGTACCAATGGCTTCTATGTTTACACACTTACTAATCAATACAAAGTACATGATCTGGGCAAGTTTCATAACTCTGGCTTTCATATTTACCAAGTTATTGCCCTTTTCAGCACTTAGAAAATGAATAATGGTTAACCTAAAACAGCAAGTTGGAAATATTTTAAGTTCTATCTATACTAATGGCTTTATAATTTCCACACTTACTTATTAATACAAAGCACATGATATTGCCAAGTTATATAACTGTGTCATCCATATTTCCCAGTTATTTCCCTTTTTACACTTTGAAAATAGGGCCTTGTCTGGTTAACCTATTTCGGCAAGTTGGATTTATCTTAAATTTCTCCTAATTGCTTAATTTCTTTACTGATATCTTTCATATTTAGTAGGTGGATACCTTTGATGGTCCTCTAATTTTTTTTGAGTAAGCGGTCTCTAGGGTCAAGGTCAAGGTCACTGGTTTAAAAAATAAATATAAACCTTTTTGCTCATACAGCCTTTATTTTTTAGTTGATGTCTTAGTTTAATACAAACACCTCCTTCTTTGGGTGAAGTATGGGGTCATTTGGGTCAAGGGCAATGTAACCAATGTCAAGGTCACCAATGTTAAAAATAGATTTTTACATTTTTAAAGGTGTATTGACCTTATTCTATAGACAGATGTTATTTATAATTGATAGAAACATGAACTTTGATGGAGTTAGTGGTCAGTTGGGTCAAGGTCACCAGTGCTAAAAATAGATTTCACACATTTGCCCATACAGCCTTTATTAAGTGACAGACATATTTTATATTTGGTAGGAAGATAACTTGCATGGTATTCATCCTTTTGATTGGGGTAGGGATCAGTGGGTCAAGGTCACTTGTGCTAAAAATAGATTTTTACACTTTTGCCCATACAGCTTTTATTTATTGACAGATGTATTTCATATTTGGTAGGAAGATAACTTGCATGGTATTCTTCCTTTGGATGGAGTAAGGGGTCAGTTGGGTCAAGGTCACAAGTGCTAAAAATAGATTTTTACACTTTTGCCCATACAGCCTTTATTTATTGACAGATGTATTTCATATTTGGTAGGAAGATAACTTACATGTCATTCTTCTTTTGGATAGAGTTAGGGGTCAGTTTGATCAAGGTCACCAGTGCTCAAAATAGATTTTTACACTTTTGCCCATACAGCCTTTATTTAATGACAGATGTATTTCATATTTGGTAGGAAGATAACTTGCATGAAGTTGAATATTTTTTTCAACTTCACAAGTCTGGGCAATGACTTGGCAACTAATATTTTTCACAATTACAAAATGCCATGACTTTGTCAAGCTATATAACTTGTGTTTACAATTTTTTGGCGATGTTTCTGTCCATAACTGAGTGAATGGGTAAACATTTTTTGAAGTATTGCTACTGACAAGAATCTGAATCTGAGCCGGGGGCATTTTTGTTTAACAAACACGTTCTTGTTTAAATTGGCTATTGGTTTATTTAATATGATTTTTAAGTCACATTACCACTGTAAATGTCATATGGCGACTTTCGGCTACACAGATGCTTGTTTAAGGACTTTTTTCAGGCCTAACAAGGGTCTGAGAAGAAACACTGACTTTCTGATGAAATAAAGTCTAATGTCTTTGACTGATTAGAATCCACAGTGATAAGAGGCAAGTGATTTGAAGTTGGCAACCATAACAACTTAACCTTGGAAATGTGAAGGGTACATTTCATGTTACAAGTTTGAATAAGATACTTGTTTTTAAATTTTAGTTTAACTATTTTTTTCATTGTTTACAGCAATATGCAGCGGAATCAGTTATCACAGCCAAGTATCAGGAACAGATATCAAGGATGGAAAAAGAAATACAGTTTTTAAAAGCAACAATGAAAAAACAAGAGGTAAAAAAAAAATGTATTGTATGTCAGTCATTTTCTTCAGTCATATGAAGGGCGTAAAGGTATCTGCCTCTCAACCCGGGATCGTGGGTTCAAGCCCTATTAGGGCCATGACCATGATTCTTTATATGGCATTACTGGTTAGTTTCAGGACTCGAAAATGATTAATATAAGTTGTAAAAACTTGTTTTGCAATAGAGTTTAACCCTGTGAGAGGAGTGGCATTTGTATAAACATGTATAAACAGGCAGTGTTTAGATAAAAACTACCTAATAGACAATCTAAGGAAACAAAATCCATTTCGAGCTAGTATATATACCTCCGGAAGTTTTGAAATATCTAGAATTAGATAATACTGTTAAACATGTCTATAAATAAAGGCTTTTAGACCAGTTATGGATTTTAATTGTATTGCACTATGTATTTTTATAATGTACATGTCATTGCAGCAAAGCCCATGACTAGAAAATAAGATATTGATGATTATATATAAAGTGTTTTAAAGTTCAGGATTATGTATCATGTAAATTTTGTTCCTTACTCTGAATTTATGTACATTTTAGGAAGAATTGAAACAAGTAAAGAAAAGAAATAAACAGTTGTGTGTAATTTTAGCTCAAGGTGAAAGTAAGTATATAATGTCAGCCACTGAGAAGCTTTGTTTTCACAAATTTGTTCTGTTTCTACATCTTTCTGTTGCTAGCAATTAAATTTACCTAGTCTTGAACTTTGAAGTGTCCAAAATTTTGTTCCTAATATATCTTTAACCCTCAGTCTATAGCATCAACTGATTTACACATGTGACCAGTGCAGACCTAAATCAGCCAGCACATTTGGTGCTGTCTTATCATGGTCTGCACTGTTTGTTTTTAAGGCAGTACCATGGGACTCCTTAATATCGACATACCTAATGTTTCCTTTTTGTCTGCATTGAATTTCATTAATGAATTTAATAATTAATATTTTGTGTGATGCAGAACAAATTCAACTAACCATTACATTTCTGATTGAATGAGGCATGACTGCACATGACAAAATACTGAAGAGTACGTCGGTAATAGAGTTGTGCCGATAAAACAAAGTTGGAGTATACATGTTTTCGAAATTTTCCCTGAAAATGATAAATGGTCTTGTCCAGATAAAAAGACGGATGAGTCCATTCAAGATACATAGAGTGGTAAGGGATAATAAATGCTAAAAAAGTAGTATATAAATTTTCTATTCATGTTTTCAGTGAAAGACAAAGCGGAGGTATTAATGCAGGTTGATCAATTAAATGGGATGAGAGATGAGCTTACAGAACAGGTAATACATCTTTAAACTTCATATTAAAGGCCCATTTAGCCTCCAAAATGCTTTTATTTTTATTTATCACAAAAACTTTTTATTTTTGGTGTCCTTTTACAATATCCAAAAAATATTCATTGGCCATATTTTGCTTTGTGGCAATAAGTACAGTTAGTGACTTACAAAAAAAATTTAGTACTTTTGGATGGAAGTCAAAATATCATTTTGTTTACTTTGATACTTTTTTGACAAATTATTTTACTTGCATCACTATTTACTTTCGGTTATAAACATTTAAATATGCTATAATCCATTATTAAAACATGACTAGACAAATGTTTGCACCTTCTAATGAAAAAAAAAAAAATAATTGTCATTTCTGAGGTATAATGTGCCTTTAAATGTAGGAAAACATTTGGTAATGGGTACAGTTTAATTTAAAATAAAAATTTGTCTTGTGAGATAGTGATCAAGTATCAAGCTAGTGTACTAAAGGTAGCTAGGTGCTCACTAAAACAATACACAGAGAGGCACCTGACATCTTCCTAAGCAAATAAATCTAGGAAGTCACCATATGACATATGTTGTATGTACCAATGAACCTGGATCATTCCTCATTATAATCTCATGCTTTTGAAGCACAGAAAATGATTTGATATATGAGTTCAAATGATCTTCTCTTTTGATGTGTTATTACCAAAAAGTTGTGTACTGTGGTCAGATGGATGGAATAAATAAGCAGTGTTTTAAATTTATCTTCCTACTTCTCCAGTCTCTGCTGCTTTGCAAAAGAGTCAAGGTAGATGTACTATTGTGTGCAAGTTTTTGATAGAAATTTTACCACGGGATTGTCAATGTGAGTTGGGGAAATTACCACCAATTCATTTTGTCCCAAAGTTCAAATTCCCATTACTAGTATTACAAAGGGATACATGAGACCAGGGTGACTAAGGACTTGTCTTTGGCATTTTATATTAGAATAATAGATAGTAAAATTTGGCAATATTTTGTAAATAATAAATTGTTATCTTTTGACAATATGTTGGATATTTTCAGGTATCGGAACTTACAGCAGATTTAGAGAAAGAAAGATCAAAAGTGCATTCATATAAATCAGAACTGGATAAATTAAAGGTGAGAAATCATGTGATTATTTAGCCACTTGGATTTAGAGATTATTTTGACACCAATATGACAGAAAATTTTCACCACCGCGGACATAAATCGGCGGCTGAAACCGTTTCCCCCGCGGAACGCAGTGGTAAATTGCGGAGGAACGCGGCGGTCAAACACAGGTCAACGCGGTGGAAACCTTAAATTTTAAAAATTAATTACTGTATTTAACATAGATAAAAACAAAATCCCTAAAGAAAGCCCAACACGGCAAAATTGAAAATGTTTAAACATCAGTATACGTACGTACATGTACTGTAACATGTACTGTACATGTAACTATATGTAAAATTTGTTTGTTTTCTTTCTTTTTTGTTGTAATAAAGGTACATGTACAAATGCAGTGTTTTTCTTGTTCTTCTTCTTATTGTGTTGGGTAATGTATAATATGTATTCGACATCAAGATAAATCATTGTCGTCGCAACTTCATGGAAGTGAGAAACTTGAAGTCAAATAATGAAAAATTCGGCATATGACACTTATGAAAAAGATACTACAACAATTTATATGCCAGCTTTTGTTTCTTATTTAAAAACTTTGAAAACGTAACCCTCAACAATTTTATTCAGGCAATATTCCAGGACGTCTCTTTCAATTGTCAGATGCGTTTTACTGTTTCTGTTTATTTGCATGATGATCATAAAGTCTTATATTTTATTTCGAACATTAAAAGAAAGCGTTTATTTCACCAAAATATACATTAAATGATATTTTGATTTATCTAATTACAGGTGTGAGCGTAATGTATATGTTTTGAAGTTTGTATCAACTGTTGAAGTTTATTTTCATTTTTGTTTTAGTAGTGTGTTTGCTTGTTCTTTTTTATTTTTTTATAGATTTTTTTGCAGAATTTTGTTAAACTTGACGTTATACTTTTGTTATTTTATTATGAATAGTATGCATGTACAAACATGTATATAAGGCAAACGAGCATATGGCAGTTATAATCGTTAGTTGTTTGTTACTATAAATTGAAAATGCTTTGAAGTTCCGAGTTGTTCTCAAAATTACCTAATGGAGCAAATGTTTTTCATTGGCTAGTTAATCTAAATCAAAGATTTATATAAACATATTCGACAGTTATCTCATTCTCAGAAAAAAAATCTAGCAATAGCTGTAGTCATAAATTGTCTTAATCATAACTTTCTACACTGTAAAATGTCTTCCTTAAGACAGTCAATGCGACAAGAGTCGCATTTTCTGGTACAATATTTGTGTGATTTCAGTTGTAAAAATATTGGTATGTGGACGAATAGTTTTGTGGACGTTTAATATAACAAAAATATTAAAAACAACAACAAAAACAGGTACAGCTGTAATTATTTTTATTTCAAATTCCGTTCAAATAATTTAACGTATAATAACATTTAAGGAGACGATTGTGGTCAATTTTCAAGTCATTGTGTAAAAAAGATGACGTCAAAAATAATAAAACGTCTAATATATTTGGAGCAACTGACCATGGCGTTCCCCCGCGGGAAACGGGTGACTGATTTTATCGATAAATGAAGAACGGTCGTCAGAATTTTGTCCGCGGTGGAAACAACTGAACACCGGGGATCGCGGGGAAATTAGGCTTCTCATCGCGGACGAACCCCCGCGTTTGTCCGCGATAAAAAAATATCGTCCGCGGTGGTATCGCGGAAAAAGCAAAACCCGCGGTGAGCGTACTGTACTACCAAGTTGGCACTGTCGTCAGATTTTGGTTAAGTTTTTGCATGCAAGTTGGTATCTCCAAAACTGCTGAAGGGAACACACATATTTGAGAGCATGATTAGAGGTGACTGTTTAAGGCCCATAACTCTAACATGGATTTTGACAGAATTATGGCCATTTTTATAACTTGAAAAAAAATCTGCATTATCTTGGCTTTTGCATTATCTTGGATCTTGTTTAACTCTGAAGTTCTGAGAATATTCGAGCATGCTGTGCATTTGACAGTTATCCGATTAGCTTACAGAATAGTGATGGTTCTCCTCTGCCAGCTTATTCCTGATATATTGCAGGGGAAGACTACTAATCTAATATCTAATCAGTAAAGCTGGAAAGGGGTCATATAATCTTACAGTGTCATTGTGACCTTAAAACCTAATAAAATAATGACTTTGATAATGAAGATGATGATTATGATAAACATCATCATAATGAAGCAGATGATGATGATAATTATGATAATAAAGATGATGATAATAATGAAGATTATTATGATAATAATAATGAAGATGGTGATAATAATGAAGATGATGATGATAATCATGATAATTATAAAAATTAAGATGATGATAATTATGATGATAATGAAGAAGATGATGATAATTATGATAATGAATATGATAATAATGATAATGGAGATGATGATAATGAAGATGATAATGAAGAAGAAGATGATGATAATTATGATAATGGAGATGATGATAATGAAGATGATGATGATGATTATTATGATGAGGATGATAATAATTATGATACTTGCCTTATTTCAGGGGAATAAACACAAGTGATAAGATTTGTCACCTCAGTATGTTGTGATGGTTAACAGCAGTGTGAGAAAATAGTTCAAGGACCAGTGACATAATTAACAGACTATTTTTACAAACGTTCAGAGTACATGACATTTATCATTTCATTAAAAAGTTCATATGAGACTGCAACACATGGGTCATTTCATTGAAGGCATTATTTCTCTCTTTTTCATAATAAAATACTGAAATGTTTTAATATATTTTTTTTTTATTACACAAGGCTGCACCAGATACTTACTGCAGATATATAAAACTCCATGGCTACATATATCTTTTGAAAATTAGCTATTATAATCTTTGTGTGGGTCAAACATTTGGTCATCCATTACTGTGGGTCTGAAATACCACCAGGGACTTTGGACTTTATTCATGGGAGGAAGCTATCCAGCTAACTTACAAGAAGGATCATGGTTATACTCGCATACCTACTTGTACCTTCGATATTGCATGAAGGCGCCCTGATGCCCTTCAATGTTAAAGCTTAAAAGTTTTAATTTGATTTTAGGTTAAACTGGGACAACTCAAAATATTTTGTCTGCCTTGTAAACTCTGCGTAAACTTCCAATGTTGGGACCTTTGGTTTGTAACATTGGTATCAAAATTGAAAACAAAAAGTATATGCCTATGATGTCAACATTGTGTTTTCTTTACTGCCTAGATGGTAAGGTATATTCATATATGCTTTGTCTGCATGATTTCCTTTCAAAAATTGTTTGGTCCCATAGCTCAAATTATAGAATCAAAATCTTGTGATTTTTGGAAAAGATCAGTAACATGAATTATGCCCCAGTTTTCAGAACTTGGGGGTGAATTGTTTTGCAAGTTGCAGGTCTATCAGCCCATATACCAGACCTTGTTTGCTAATAACAGGGCCTGATTCAGGGTGGTGAGCCCCATCTGTAGGTTGGTTTGGATGACCTTCACCAAATTTTCTAAAAAGGTGGATTAAATGGCTAAATTTTGTGCATTTTAGGCATAAAAATATAATGAAATTTATGTGAGAATTTAAAAGAGATATACTAGTGTTGTTGGAAATGTTCAACTAAAGTAAAATAAAACAAAAAAACCAAAGTATGGTATGACAAGTTTAACCATTTTTATGCCCAAAATAATTTCAGCAGTTATTGTTATGCAACTGGTTGTCCATCCGTCTGTCTGTTAGCAGGTTTTTGTGTACGGTCTGTATCTTTTGAACCGGTGGAAGTAAATTGAAAGTACTTGGCAGAAATGTTAACCATAATGAGACGATGTGCAGAGCACAGGTGTGACCTTTCTCAGGTCAAGGTCTCGGTCATTATGTTTCAGTTTTGTGTCCGCTCTGTACCTTTGGAATCAATAAAAAGAAATAAAAACTTTTTAGCAGAAATTTTACTTATATTGAGACGGTGTGCAGATCACAAGTTAGGACTTTCTACGATCAAAATTGGCTCGCCCCGGGGATCAATTAATTTGTATAGACTTCTAAAGGAGTTTTCATGTCTTGTCTGTATCTTTTGAACCGGTGAAAGGAAATTGAAACTATTTGGAAAAAATGTTAAACATAATAAGACAATGTGCAGAGTGCAGGTTTGACTTTTCTCAGGTCAATGTCACAAATATGCCTTTAAGAGGGTTCTTATCACAAGTTAACCAAAGGTGATAGCCTTGGGGAATGTTGTAAAACTGAAACAACCAGGTGAAATTGTTCTTTGAGGGTTCTGGTCTCAATGAAACTTATAGTGAAAGGCCTTTTAGAGGGTTTTAGTAGCAATAAAACCTACGGTGATAGGCCTTTTAGAGGGTTTTAGTAGCAATAAAACCCATGGTGATAGGCCTTTTAGAGGGTTATAGTAGCAATAAACCCACGGTGATAGGCCTTTAAAAGGGTTATTTGCAATAAACCCACGGTGATAGGCCTTTTAGAGGTTTCTAGTATCAATAAAACCCACGGTGATAGGCTTTTTAGAGGGTTTTAGTAGCAATAAAAACACACGGTGATAGGCTTTTTTAGAGGGTTTTAGTAGCAATAAAAACCCACGGTGATAGGCCTTTCAGAGGGTTCTAGTAACAATAAAACCCACGGTGATAGCCTTGGGAAATACAGTAAAACTGATACAACCCACAGTGATAGGCCTTTTAGAGGGTTGAAGTAGCAATAAAACCCACGGTGACAGGCCTTTCAGAGGGTTCTAGTAACAATAAAACCCACGGTGATAGTTTTGGGGAATACAGTAAAAATGTCACAACCCACGGTGATAGGCCTTTTAGAGGGTTGAAGTAGCAATAAAACCCACGGTAATAGCCTTGGGGAATACAGTAAAGTTGTCACAACCCACGGTGATGGGCCTTTTAGATGTTTCTAGTAGCAATAAAAACCACGGTGATAGCCTCAAAGAATACAGTAAAAATGTCGCAACCCAAGTTGATAGGCCTTTAATAAGGTTCTAGTAGCAATAAACCCCACAGTGATAGCCTCGGGGATACAGTAAAGCTGATACAACCCACTGTGATAGGGATTTTAGTGGGTTATGGCCAAATTAAAACCTACGGTGATAGTCTCAGGGAATACAGTAGAAATGTCACAACCCACGGTGATATGGCTTTTAGAGGGTTCTTGTCACATTAAAACCCACAGTGATAGCCTCGGGGAATACAATAAAACTTACACAACCCACGGTGATATGTCTTTTAGAGGGTTCTAGTCGCGAAACAACCCACTCTCAGTTCTGAGCTTTTAAAATTTATTGTTTAAAAAATTATGTCTTTAAAATTACTAAGGCAATTCACTTGAGACTTATTTCGTGTCATTTGGAAGGTTACTGACCAAGAATAATAACTTTAACGTGTATTTTGAAAAGAGAGTTTTAGCCCTTTTTTAACTTCGAAACTGTTTTAATAAATATTTTCTTGAAAAATCAGCCTCCAGAACTTGTGACTGTTTTCACTTTAAATTTAACAATAAATGTACTAGGTTAATTTTCGAGACTCATAATTATGCCAGGTCTATTTTTGAATGAAATCTTACTCTGTGAATTCCGACATTTTCCATGTTCTTATTTAAGCACTGGGAAAAGTCGAGCACACTATACCACTGGAAGTTCTTGCTATGTCATACATCAACTTTAGTGCGTCGTAAATTTTATTATGATACACATTTGGCATTTTTGACAATAATTATTCAACAAAAATCAAAACTTATTTATATATATTAAATATAAATATTCAACAATTGGTTTGCATTTCAGTTCAATCCATGCATTGTTTTTTCTTAGTATTAAATGTCATCTGTTACGACTATTATTAATCCCATTCATTTGATTCCCATTGAATATATTGGTTTATTATTTAAAGTTATTTGAATTGAGTGATCACAATGTGATAAAATCATTCATAGTTAGTCCATTATAGACCTGATTGAGAAAACATGTCACATTTACATGCATACCATGTTTGACATTGCCCAGATCTACATGTATTGTTTGAATAGCATGTCACAGTTAAAGGAACTTCACTAAGGTCCAAATTCATTAAAACATAAAATATGAATTTCTTACGTACGTAGATGACCTATGGCGCTTAGAGCGGAGAAATATACAGAAGATAATAATGAAATATACTAAGAATTAAATTGAACATCGTCTTTTTTGTGCAATTCTTAGTAAATGTGTTTGGACGCTTTTCAGTCAGGGTCATTTTTCAAAATTAAAATAGGAATTGTGTCAAAATAGTAAGAGCGAATGATCTGATGTTTTTTCCCACAAATGTTTTTGGTCAAATGGTACATAATTATTTCCAGTCCCGTAATGTAAAAACAACAAGAACAACAAGAACAACAACAAAACTCAGTAGTGTCCCTTTTTAATGTATGCATTATTTGTTAAACAATGTTCAAGACTTTTCAATTGTATTTTCAATAGGTCAGTTATTGTTTGTCCTGCAAGCGAAACACATCTACAACGTGCCATTTCTGTCAACCTTATCCAAACTAAAATAAAAGCAAATTTATACAGAATTTATTTTAAATAGTTTGTGTTGGAAGCTTTCAGCTTCTAGACAAACATTCGAATCCGCTCCTGGAACCAATCAGTCCTGGGCAATGAGTGTAAAGTTTCTTGCTCAAGGAACCAACGGCTTCAGTGGTTTGAACCCATGTGGCCAGTGATCTTTAGATTTCTAGACCGATGCGTTTACCAATCGACCATGCCGCCACAAAAATTGTTGTTGATTTGACTTGTGTTATTAAAGTTAATTACAATGTCTTTTTTCCAGGTTACAGTAAAAATACATGTATATTATTTTAAACGTTTGCACAAACATATACTGATAACTCACGCAGTCACGGATTTATAAATCCGTGACACAATACGACAGATTTGAAAGATCAGACTAGTTATGTTATAAAATCTTTTCCATGACACAATTACTGTTTTTATTAAAGAAGTTGTTTTACTGAAACATATAAGTTTCTATTTAAGTAAATAGGATGCAAATAAATGAAAATGGTTATCGATGATTTTGCTGACTCATATCCATTACGAAGTGTATGCAGTTCATAATATGATTTTGTTAAAATACACAGTTCGTTTAATTGTTAGTAGGTATTTGTTTTAAACATATTTGATAGTGAATGCGCTCGTGCATTCTACGACAGCTTTCGTCAAAGCATGCAAATAAAAGGAATTTTTTAATCTATTTTACGTTTATTATTTTATTAAATAAGTGAAATATTTAAGATATTTTGGTTTTGCTAACTCATCTTTGTGGAGTTTATACATAATGCATGGGGTATTTTGTACAACATTTTCTAAAATTCGGGAAAACTGCCATACTATTATCTTGTGCTTTTATAACTTCACGAACTCTGACAGTTATCTAGAATGTTATGAAAAACTTAAACATCTAACATTAAAAAAAATGATAATAAAAAATGTTGATGTTTTTAGCCGTTTTTTCTTATTCTTCGAATAATGACACAAAAAACTATGTGATTTGGTCATATCTATACACATGTAGTTATGTAGTTGTGCATGGTTCGCTTTATAAACCTTGCAACGCTAAATTTCTATAATGAACTCGTCCATCTTTCATCCTGGACAAAACCAATCATCATTTTAGGGAGAATGCAATAGTAAGTAATGACTGCGCAGACCGGATGTGCACTAGTTGCATGGCTAGAATCCGTTGCCGGAAACAAGCTAAGGGTGATGCCCACC